AAAAAACCTGCCTTTTTAGAGGAAAGTCTATGACTAGAATTTGCATCTATGAGAACACACCAAGTTATATGTAAGCTTTTCTTTGGATTCATAGCCAGATTTGTCTGAACCAGTAATAAGAATAACTTTTGTTACATTTATTTCGCTTTGGCTCCCGCAAGGCCCAAGAAGGCCAGATTCTGGCTCTGTTCATCTTTGAATTCCCACTGGCACTTCTGCAAGGGAAGTGATTTGATCACGAATGTAGCTCAAAGAAGCTTGACTCAAGGAGATGGTAGCCTCTTACTGCTCATCCATACTTAGGGATCCTCCTCTTTACCTTCATTCAAGGTCAGAGGGGCAGGGAAGATGTCATGAAACGAGCCCCGGATGCCAGAGGCATGGGGTCCAGCCCTGGCACTGCAGACTTACCGTGTGACCCCGAGTAAGCGTGTTCCCCCTGGGCCTCGGGTGTGCCATCCACAGGAGACGATTGGCGAGGGCATCTAGTACCTTGCCACTCAAAGTGTGTTGGTGGAAGGTCACACCTGGGCGTTGGTAAGCAGTGCCGAAACTCAGGTCCTGCTCCAGACCTACGACCTACAGACTCAGACTCTGCTTTTCACAATCCCCTGTATGGATGCATATGGCAATTAAAGAGGTTCAAGGCGAACACCTTTTCCAGCTGAGTGCTGTGGTCACAGCTGAGCCAGCTTCACATCGCCTGGACGTGAGCGCCCTCTGCTGGCTCAGACATGAAGCACTTTTTTTTAGGAAACACTTCGTTCCTTCTGCTGGTTTTTTAAGGGTTTCAAAGGAAGCTCGAAGCTCCATCACCTACACAGAGGCCCAGAGACGGTGAGAATATGCGTGGGGCCTTGAGCGGAAGGATCTCCGTTGCCCCACAGTCCACATTCCTGCTGTCTCATCCTTGTTACTTCTGTTTTAGCAAAAACAGGCAGCAGAGAGTAGAGGGACAGGTCGGTGGTGAGGTTCTCGTGGCTTATTTACTAGCCAGCTCTCAGACCTTCGGCGAATGACTTACCTGTTAGTTTAGAGTAGTGCGTGGAGATGAGAACCGCGGGACCTCTCAGGACTGCTACGCAAGGCCAAAGGCGGTGATGGATGTGAAAGCTCTTGGAAAGCCTGAAATATTTCACAAACGTGAAGGTGTGTGTTTTTTCTGCTGCCACTAGTGGAACTGGCTGCTCTGGTGCAGACCTGGCCCATCCCAGCCCCACTCCAGACCAGCTCTGCCACCTGGCTTAATTCTGGTGATTTGCTTAACCCAGGGTTTCTCAGTCTTGGAACTACTGACATTTGGGCTGGGATAATTCTTTGTCGTAGGGACTGTTCCGTGCATTATAGAATGCTTAGTGGCATCCCCATTAGATACCCACAGCACCCCCCACCCAAACATACACAGTCATGACAGAGAAATACCTCCGGGCACTGCCAACTGTCCCATGGCAGGGGGTGGGCGCAAAATCACCCCCAGTTTTGAACTGCCGTAGATTCAGTCTTCTCGGTCATTCTAGTCAATGGGTGATATGACTCAGGGGCGTCTATGTATAACGTTCTGGGCTACCTGAAGGGAAAGATACACACCATTGTTTCCATCCCCAGCGCACTGGCAGAGAGGGGGCAGGTTGGGGTGGGGGAGGATGGATAAATATAAGGAAATAACAGCAAACAAGACATGACCTAGTCAATAAAAGGTTTGATCCTTCTAATGTTTTGCAGCCCTTGTATAATTGATAGATCACGTGCCTCGGTCTCCTGATGACTCGGGTTGGGTGGCATTCTCATTACAGACTCAGGAAATCAAAGCACAGAGAGACTGTTCCTTGCTTACTGTGCCTGGCAAGGGCTGGAAGAGTGGAGATGGTGCACGCAAGCCAGTCGGCTGGGTCGGGGAAGGTGGGAGCGTTTGGAGTGTGGCAGGAGATGTTCCAGCATCACTGATTCCCAACTTTCCCACCACACACAATGGATAACATTCACTATGATCCATCTCTAAAATCGGAGGTAGTGAAAACTGATTGCACATGCATATGGATGCGTGTAGGGTTTCAACAGCACCCACATGTGGCAAGTGTGAAAAACAAACACCTAGGCATATTGATAATGGAACATCCTGACGTATAAAGTCACAGTGTTCGTGCTACGGGGACTCACTACCTTCTGAGTGAGCCACACGTTGAACTGTGTAGAAAAGGCCAACGATAGCTTTTCTTCTAAGCGTGGCCAGCGATGGGCCCTTCACGTGTCCCTGCTCCTCTCAGTCTTAGACAACGGGGCACCGTGCATTCTGACAACTGCTCTTCGTGGCCCGTCCTGTGGCAGGCACCATGCTGGGCTCAGCACTTTACGTTAGTTACTGCATTTGATCAGTGGACAAAGGCCTTAGGCCCCAGGCAGTGTGATGGGCACGGACTTGATTCAGGTGCACATTTCTTGGCTGAACTGGGGGAGTCATTTAAGCTCTGAACCTTCGTTTTACCTCTAAAATCCAGAGGGTGATGGAATATGAAACACGAGAAGCCGGCAGGGACAGTCTGGGCTGGACCTAATGCATCAAAAGAAAAGACTTCGCACTTTCAAGTACGGTGGGAAGGCACCTCCTGCTTTGCAGAGTTTGAAGCAGGATGTTTATGCAATCAGAGCTATGCTTTTGTTTTTCTTTTATAAAGATGATTTTTTTTTAAATTGGGGAACAGTGTGTTTTCCCAGGACCCATCAGCTCCAAGTCAAGTAGTTGTTTCAATCTGGTTGTGGAGGGCGCAGCTCAGTGGCCCATGTAGGGATCGAACAGGCAACCTTGGTGTTGTGAGCACTGTGCTCTAACCAGCTGAGCTAACCGGCCACTCCCAGAACTATGTTTTAAAATCATCTCTTGGCAACTCTTGGGAGAGCCTTCCGTAAGAAGGCTGTGTAAAGTTCTCAGTACCGAAAATACTCCCAGATCTGGTGTCCCCAGCCCAGACCTACTCGTCTAAGCCTACAGTCCATTTGACACATCGTCTTGGTGTCAAAGAGGCAGGAAGAGAATAAAGAGTAGGGAAAAATAGTGCATCTAAATAAATATTTATTGAATACAATATCACAGCAAATAGATAGATCACTGAAGCTGAAACTCTATAGCATTTTCACAGGTCTTTTTAAAGAAAGGGCTTAACAAGACAAGTTATTTAAAACAACATAAAAGTGTCAAGTGCAGGTATTTTAAAAAGTAATAGCACTTAACAGTGGAAGCTACACCTTTAGACTTTAAAAAAAATGCTCTTGGCCACAAAAATGAAGTTTGGAGTGTTTTTTTCACCTTTGTCTGTGAGGCCATTATTGCCAAATAGTGCTTGCTGTTCTTTCTGGGGGAAAAAAAAAAAAAAAAAAACTAATAAGGCAGAAGAGCTTGTTCTGTTTTAGACTCCCTCCCAGCTCTTGATTGAAATGAGTGAAGAAATAAACAGTTTCTCTCATTTCCTTAAAAAAAAAAGGGGAAGAAAGAAAAAAACAATCCACGATTGCCCCAAATTGGGCCCTTGAAGACAAGATCCGAGCCTTTGGTGTCAAGTCGCCCGGTTCTGGAGGCTCAGGACCCTGCCCAGGTCACTTCGGCATCACTGGGGAGAAGGCGGTGAGCGGCAGGAGGAACCGCCAGGCCATCAGCCTGATTCTCCACGTGAGGGAGGGTCGGCCAACAGGACCGCCACACGAGCAGTGAGATGGCCTGGGCGGTTACTGCAGGATCCTACGGACAAGTGAAAAGGCAGTGAAAAGGCGACAGGGCAACTCTAAGGAGTGCTTGGCTACCCGGCCCCCTCTGAGTCATAACCCCCGAGGGGCGTGTGTGATCCAACGACCTTGGGCGGTGGGGGAGGAAGGGCGGTAGGAAAAAAAACGCTCTGGTCCCGTCGGCTGGTCATTCCTGGTAGAGCCTCTCTGAGTCTGCGGGCTTCCTGGCCTGCTGGCAGTTGCTGTTGGGGTTTTGTGGTCTGTTTGGTGACAAGAGGAAACCGTCAGCTCCAGGGCTCCTTTAAAGAGCAATGCTGAGAGTACATAGCTGAACAGATGTCAACATAGCTGAACAGATGACATTTTTTGTGTTTCCCCCAATTCTTGTCTGTGTCCTCACAACAATCTAGTGAGAGAGGCAGAGTGAGGCGTAGCCCCATTTTCCAATGAAAGAAGACTGAGAACAGAGAAGTTCAAGATCACGCAGCTAAAGAATGGCCGAGCTGGGAGTCAGAGCCATATCTTCAAACTCCAATTACTTGACTGTTTCTTGACAGCTTCAAGAGAAGGGAGGCGGGCAGGCAGGAAGAGAAATAGGTTGGTCTTTTTTAGTGCCTGTGATGGTAGGTTTCAGAGGGAAGCGGGAGGGGAGGTAGCGTTATTGATACAAACTTAACTGCATCTATATATTATCTTAAAATTTCACGTAGCCTTGCCAACGCTGACAGCCCGCTGTTACACGCCAGAGCTCTCCTTGCAGGGTTATACTACAGGAGCTGAATCCTCCATCTCCCGGTCCCCCTTCCAGCTGCGAGTGGCCACCTGACAAAATTCTAGCCCAGGGAGTTGGTTGGGGGAGAATGAAATTTTCCAGGGGAAGACTTCACTCACTGGATAGAAAGGGCCAGACTCCATCGGTGAGGGAGGACTCATTTTTTTTCTCCCTGCGTCCCGCCTGGAATACAGTTGGTGTCACCAGGGCCAGCTTTCTCATGGCCATGAGGCGACAAACGAAGGCGCTAAAGATGGCATTGCAGAAAGGCAGAAGGCCCTGAGCTAGCGCCAGCTTTTTGTGATGCAATAATAAAAATAAACTCCTATTTGTTTAAACTGGTGTCTGCTTAGGTTTTGTATCACTCGCCACCCACAGCATTCCTGCCTGACAACAAAGCACTGGGAAGGAAACCTTGTCTTAAGTACAGACGTGAGGAGGCTAGACACGCTCTGGTTGCTTTGGGATACGGAGTGTGACGAAAAGTAAATGACGCAGTGGCTCTACAGACACAGCTGCCCGGGTTCCCCACTGTCCCCGAACTGCAGGCCCTGGGAGGGCTCGATGACCCCCTAACAAAGAAGCAGCACTGAGCTTTCCTTCTCAGAAGCCAGTTTATTCCTTCAAAAGACCGTTTAGTCTATTTTCATGAGAACACCTTATAGTTTTGTTACCTTTTTTCCTTGTTTAAAAATGTCACTTGTGCTATCTTTTGTTTAGGCTCAAAATTCCATTTGCATCGTGGAAGAAAGTGGATAGTTCCTCCCCCTTCCCCCGCAACCCCATCTGTTTCTTGAGTTTAGAAGAATTCGTTAGTGCAAGGGTTTTAAGGCAACAGTCATCTTCCTAATACCATGCTATATACCATGTGCCTTTTTCATTCCCTCACAGAGGAAACTTGGAGTTTTTCAAAGTACATTTGGGAGATCAGCATGACTCAAAGAACCAACAGTCTCCAAATGACCAGTGAAGTTAGAAACTCATGCATGGTGAAAAAAAAAATCTATTAAAGTGCAAGATAGAGCAGTGGATTTTTATATAACAAAGTACAGCAGGTCCTTGAAAAACGTGATTTTTGTTACAACATTGATGAGATGCCATAGGAACTTAACACTCGCTTATATCAATTACCTGTGGTAAAAGGGGTTTCATACATCATTTTGCTTCAAGTCTCACAACCTATCGATGACTTTGAGTGAGAACTTACTGTACAAAAAGTTCAATTTCAATTAACCTTTCAGAAACTACCACTTACTGAGTTTTGGTGTTTAGCAAAGAACATCTCTAGTCATATGAGAAAGCTTTTCTTCCTCCTTTTTCCAACGCATTTGTGAGGCTGGGATTTTAAACACTTTAAACACTTTCTTTAAACACTTCAACCAAAGTAACGCAGAGGCACAAATGAAAACCCAGCTGACTTCCATTAAGGCAGACGTTAAAAAATATCTGCAAAATGTGGAGCAATGCCACTGAATGCCACTCATTACATTTTGTATTGAAAAATATAGTTACCGTTCATAAAAGTATTTATATTAACAGGACATATTGTTCTTTTGACATCAATAAATATGTTTCCAATTCCCATTATAATTTCCATTGGTGTCATTATCAATACACTGAAACCGCATAAACAAAAACCCTTCAGAAGACTCGATCGTTTTTAAGAAGGCAAAATGGGGCCTGGGAACAAGGAGCTTGAGAACCGCTGCCCTACTCCAAACAACGGGTGCCAGCGGCTTATTGGGGAGACTCAGATAAGGAGACCAAGGACAAGTCCTGAGTATCTTCCTCAGTCTCTTCATTGGTAAATAGGTGGTTTTCCGATTTTGCTACTTCCTGTGGTATCTTCAGGGGCGGGGGGAGGGAGGCTGCCGTCAAGAGCATCCACCTCACTAAGCCAAACAGACCAATACTTCTCCTCTTATTCCTTTTAAGGCTGAGAGTGCGCAACACAATTTATGAGAAGCTGAATGTCATGCCAGGTATATCCGCTCAGCAACCCTATGAGACCCGCCCCGGAGCGACTGTAAATTACCCCCACTTCACCTTTTCTTGTGCAATGCATGAGAAACCTTTTGGGGCTGGTCCCTGCCTCCCGGGGTGGCTGTGGGGATGACAGGAGCTGAGCGAGGCCCGGGGACTTTGTGACAGAGTCCCTGGCACACGGCAGGAGCTGGATGGCTGATGGCCACCACCATCACTTCAGCAGGGGCTTACACGAAGGACAGTGGGGTCACATCCCACTTGGGACTCAAAATCCTTGTTGATTCTAAAATCAACCAGGACAAAAGAGCAAAAATCAAGCATTAAAAAAAACACCCCAAAAAAACACCTCTGAAAATCCCTTAGGACGATGGCCCGTTGTGATGGACAGACAAACATGCTGTCTTCCAGTACGCTCACTGCAGCACTGGTTCTCCCTCGAGACCCAATAGATACTCACTGTTCCTTCCGTCGTGGCCCCAGAGGAAGCAGCTAGCATTTGGGAGGCATAATAGAGGGACAGAATCCATATATTCGAACACAAGATTCACGCTCACAGCGGTTAGACACACACACTTGGTTGGGAGAGCACAGGGGACCGGGACAGACAGTGGGACAGCAGGTTTATAGCTCCTGCACCACCAGGGACACACGCATGGGGGGTAGAATGGTGGCTTTGTTCTGCTGTTCCCTCTTCCTCGGAGAAGAACGCCGCGATTTGAATTTTCGTAAATTCATGGACATCTTCTTAAAGGACTCAATCAATAAGAACCAGGACCTTGCAGAGTTGCCGTGACAACAAAATGAGCTGTTGGGTGGGGTTGGGGGATGACCAGAGCAATAGTTTTGTTTGAACTCCACTGTAAATTCCCATCTGACGTCGGACGTATATGGAGGATGTATGACATCTGAAGAATGCCTGCCTCTTACAGTTTTGCTTCTAAACACCGACTGGGCTTAGGCCGTTATTTGTCAAAACCTCCCCAAATAGAAAAGATTCAATTATTATATTGACCTGTATTTACCTGGAAGAAAGCCCGCAGTTGATGAGGCTGGAGACCACCACGTGGGACGCGATGATAGTTGCTGATATGATGAGTGACACGAAGCCCAAGCCACACAGGACACAAAGCAGTGAGAGGCCGCCCACAGAGATGACCAGCCCTAGAGGAGAGCAGAGTAAGGAGAAGCATTCGCCTAAAACAGTTGAGAATCGCCAGACCTTGGGCCGCTGCGTTTAAGATGACAGTTCACATTTTTCAAGCGAGGAGATTTCCTATAAAAATCCCGATTTCTGGCATCGCTTAAAAAGGACGAGAGCTAAGCAGCCGAGTGGGCGTCACTGCATGGCTACAACGGGCTGACCCTCCTGTTTCCTCAGGTCACACTGTTCCCAAATGTAGTCCTGTGCTGCCTAACAACCTTTTAGTCAATAAGGCGCTCCATGTCCAGTGTTTATAAAGCCCACAGTTGTGCACAGTCACGTCCGGGGCCTTTGTGTCCACTCACCCCTCACTCACTGACTCACCCGGAGCAACTTCTGGTCCTGCCAGCTCCGTACGTGGTAGGTGCCCTACGAAAGGGTACCACCTACAACACTCGGTAAATAATGTGCTGTGCAGGCTTGTAGCCTAAGCACTAGGCCGTCCCGTGTTAGGTGTGTGGGAGGCTACACCATCCCGGTTTGTGGAAGTGCCTCTGTGATGTTTGCACAACAAAGTCGCCTGACAGCACATTTATGTCTCAGAACATGTCCCGGTTGTTACGCAGCACATGACTGTAGTACGCTCGGGGCGCTCGGTTCGTTTTTGTCACCTTTCTTGACCTTGGGTGATTGAGTGTGGGACCCCCTCATCCTCAAGGTCAGGGATGGGCTCCCAGTGGAATTCTTTAGGGGGTGTCAGGCAAGGCAGAAATGGGGGAGGTAAATCACATCCTATGTTTCAAACTACCTCACGAATGACGTAATGTACACTCACTGCCTGTGGGTATGAAGGCTACGCAGGTAAATAAAGTAAAATCTAAATGTAGCTCTTAATCACATCCTTTACAACGGATAGCCTGGCCACTATCACGCCTTAATCATAAGGTCTGATTGGTCATTTTCCCCACCATTAAATCGTCTTTTAAGGGGAGTGTTAATGAATTACCATCTAATAAGTGTAGCGAAAATACATTTTTCATCATGTGGGGTCTGTGAGGGAAACACAGTAAAGGCTCCAACGGAAAGAGCTTGGATTTTCATGGTAGACACGACTGAGTTTGATGCTGGTTAAATCATTCACGGTGTGACTTTGGGCCTCTCGGGGCTTGAGTTTAACCCATCTGTAAAAAGCGTACAATAATAACCACCTCGAAGCGTTGCCATGGCAATTAAATGGCTTCTCACGTGTGATGGACTGTGGTAGTTTTTGTCTGCCCTGCTTTCTCCCCTGCCGCCCTCTTTCCAGTGTAGAACTAATAACATGGAAAATGATGTAGGGCAGACATCCTTCCCCTTCCCCTGGGAGTGAACAAAGAGCCATGGTGGTTGTTTTGGGGGTGGACCCTGAAAAGGAAGGGGACCACAGAATATAAACGGATGTGCCGCCTTTTCATAAACATTTACAAAATCTTCGATCCATGTTTATCGAAACGTGGCGGATGACCACTATATCAGAATCAGATGCACCAGGGAGGCTGGCTAAAAATTTGGATTTCTAGACCTCACTCCAGATGCCTGCGTTTTCATACAGCAAGTAAGATGTATGCACTCAAGTTCGAGAACCACCGCTCTGAAGGCTTCGCACACGCCATTCCTCCTATCTAGAAAGCCCTTCTTTGCCCAAAGGAAAGAAAGTTGTCATACCTCTTAAAGTCCTGTCTTCTGTAAAGCTTTGCACGGTGCCACCAAAACGTAGGGGCTCCCATCTTTCTCTCTAAATTCACTTCTGTTATAGTATCATTCATTCCTCTACCCATTAATTCATTCATTCATTCACCTGTCTGTCCATCAGTATTTACTGAACGACGGGTGTGCCAAACTGTATTTGGCTCATCCGCCTACCATGCCCACCTTCTTCTTCAAGTGTAAACTGCCTTGTCCACAGTCCCCAGGGGCAGGGAAACAACTCTGGGTGCTCTTAGCTCTGGGAACCCACAGAATGGACCAAAGGTGATTACCGACCCAACGGCAACCATCTCTTTGGCCCGTATCTTGTGGTTTGCAATCTGATTTGAAAAGGCCAAATGAACCAGTCAGCTTTGCTGTCTCAGTCATTTTAACTCAGCAACACAGGGAGAAGCTGACAGTTGGCAGTGGGACATCAGGAGGAAAGGTGAAGGGGGAACGTCAGTACCTAGCAAGGCACCTGGCACGCAACAGATGCTCAGCAACCAGCTATGGACTGAACGGCCTGTCTCTGCTTAATGGCAGCAGTTAGCTACTCTGTGCCGGGGACTGTACTCCATACTTTATGGACCTGTAAGCTGCAATCCTTACAACAACCCTTCAAGACAGCATGATTACATCCCCATTTTACCTGTGAGGCATTTGAGGCTCAGAGACGGTAGATAACTTGTCCAAAGCCACACTGGTAGAGGTGAAGTTCTAATGCAGACCCTAGAGTCCACGTTTTAGCTACTCTAACAAGCTGCCTTGGTTGATATGACTTTGACAAGAGCAGGGACCTTTGACAAGAGTGACAGAGGCCCAATAAACACGGTCCTTCCGATTGAGTCCTTTTCCAAGGGGATGAATTACCTTCCAGTAATATGACTCCCACGAAAGCAGCCAGGGAGGTAAGCACCACAAGGAACAGGAAGAAGCCAACAGGAACAGCTGACAGTGCAATAAACACCAGTAAGGTGAAGGCCGCGAAAGGATGCCTGTCAAGGTACTGCCCCACCGGAGACTTCATAAAGGCGACCACCTACAGGCAGAGAAAGAAAGGGCCAGTACTGAACGCCAAGGAGCCAGAGTTCAGGAGCTTTGGATGCCTCCCGCAGGAGGCGGATGCAAATATTAAAGACACACCAAATACCTAGCACAGGGCTTGGCATACAGTAAGTGCTCAATCAAGGTTAATTAGTATACAGTCACGCCCCATTCATTGTGGATTCCATGTTTGCAAATTCACCGACTCACTAAAATTGATTTGTAACCCCCTCAATCGAGACTGGTGGTGCTTTTGTGAACATGCACAAAGCAGCAAAAAGTATGAGTCACCTGACACACACATTTCCATCTGAGGTGAAACTAGGTGACACTGTGTCTTCCTGTTTGAGCTCTCTAAACAACGGTCCTTTTTCGGGTCCATCTAGTGCCACCTTTTTTTTCTTTTTTTCACATTTGTATGTGCTTTGTTGGTGATTTCGCAGTTTAAAATGGCACCCACGTGCAGAAGTAGCATCTAGTGTTTCTAAGTGTAAGAAGGCGGTGATGTGTGCATCACAGAGAAAATACAATGTGTTGAATAAGTTTCGTTCAGACGAGAGTTACGGTGCAGTTGGCCATGAGTTCAACGTTAGTGAACCAACCATATCTATTAACTAAGTACAGTAATACCTTGGTTTGCGAGCATAATTCATTCCGGAAATAAACTACTCACTCGTATTGCAAGATATCGCTCGTTTACCACATTAAAATGTATTAGAAATGTTTGCTCGTCTTACAGAACACTTGCAAACCAAGTCACTCGCATTCCAAGGTTTTACTGTATACATAAAACAGGTTATGTGTTATTTGTTAATGAGAATGTTGTGACCAGAAGTTTGCTAGCACCTAAATCTTATACTTCCCCTGGGAGCAATGGCTCAGCATTTGCTAATTCCGTGTTTGAGGTGACTTTATAGGACACATCGTATAATGAGAACCAACTGTAGAAGGTAAATGAGCATGAGGACCTTTCTTACTGAACTAACTTTTCATGACAAGAGTCTCAGCCTGCTGACTAGAAAGCTGTGTGTCCAATTTAAAAATAGCTCGCTAAATCCATAAAGAGTGCCAGAGGCATTTTGGGATGAGTCCAGAAAAGATCCCTACAGAGTATATTACTCTAGATTGCAAAGTGGCATCTTCTCAAATAGTCTCTAGTGGAACTGTGCTATCCAATACAAAAAATAGATCACAGAACAGTTCATCTGGTTACATACATGTATGTATTTTTATGGGCAGAAAAAAGTCTAGAAGGACATACAACAAAATGTTAATAATATTATATCTGAGAGCTGTTATTTTTTTCCTTGATAAAACGCTGAAAGGCATATGGGAAAGAGCAGTAAAGATAAATATGCAAGAAACTGAAATATACTATCTGAAGTCCCATTGCTATTGAACGGCTACTGAACACCTGAAAAGTGGCTAGCTCAAAGTGACATGCACTGTGTAAAATACACACTGGATTTCGAAAACTCAGTACCAAAAAAAGAATGTAAAAATCTCCATAGCTTTTTTCATCAGTAATTTTTTATAATGATTACGTGTTGAAATAACATTTTGGAAATATTAAGTCAAATAAAATACATTATTAAGGTTAATTTCACCTGCTTCTTTTTACTTTTTAAACACACCTACTAGAAAACTTTAAATTGCATATGTGCCTCATGTCATATTTCTATTGGACACTGGGTTTCTAGTGGAATGCTGAACTCAAATCTTAAAAGCAGACTTTGGCCCCCTCTTTTTCAGGGTAACACATAAGCCAAAATTAACAACAAAACTAAAAAACTATGGTATCTGAGAGCCACCTCTCCAGATCCATCTACAGAATTGCAGTTGCCACAGGCGGTTATGCAACTAAATTTTGGTCTATGAGATGTTATATTTGTGACTTCCGGGAAGTTTCCTCCTGACATTCAAAGTGGCTTGCAAGTTTTTCTTCCCCCTCTCCTCCATCCTGTTGCCTGGAATATGGATTCGATGGCTGATGCTCTAGCAGCCACCTTGGACAATGAGTTTGAAGGTCAAAATTTAGTCACAGCAGGGTGGTGAGGTAGAAAGATTCCTAACTTACTGCCAAATTTTTCTACTTGAGAGAGAAATAGCTTTCTATGGTGTTTAAGCTAGTGTCACTTGGGGATTTTCCATTATAGGTACTGATGGGAAACTGACCTTTGAGTTATTCTGGATGGATTCTATCAGCAAAGACAGCTTCCTCTGCAAATCCTGAAACTCCCTTGAAGTACTCGGGTTCTCCTCTTTGGCCATCCTGTAACCCACTTCAGTCTCTTAGAGATGAATTCTTCTAAGCTCTCCAGAGCAGAGCATGGCCGAGTCTCTCGTGTTGTCTCTTGCTGTCACTAGAAAGACCAAAAGTTTCTTAAACCATAATGGTCTCACTTAACTGGCCCAACAAAAGCTTCTATTATCTTTGCACACTGATGGTGGGTGCACAGATAGAGGGTAACTTGGCAATATCTACCAAAATTTCAAATTGCACACACCGTAATCCAACAATGTATTCCCCAGGAACCGGAAGGAAATAAACAGGTATAGCAAAACGTACCAAAAGGATGTGCACTACATCCCTGATTATCATGTATGATAAAGAGCAAAACAATGGAAAGAAATGAATTGTCCATTAGTAAGAAATTGGCTAAATAATGATAAATTCATACAATTTAGTATTGTACAATCATTAAAATGATGTGGCTTAATAAGTGACATGAAAATATGTCCATGAGTGAAAAAAATTACAGGGCCGGCCGAGTGGCTCGGTTGGTTGAGTGCAAGCTCTGAGTAACAGGGTCGCCAGTTCAATTCCCACATGGGCCAGTGAGCTGTGACCGAGCTGAGCTGCGGCTGAGCTGACAACAGGTGACAGGATGGCTCAGCTGGTGAGAACATGTGTTCCTAACAACAACGTTGCCTGTTCGACTCCCGCATGGGATGATGGGCTATGTCCACCTGCAACTAAGATTAAACACAATACCTTGAGCTGAGCGGCTGTGAGCGCCGACAGGCGGCCAGGTGGCGACTGGACTTGGAGCTGAGCTAGCTGCGCCCTCCACAACTAAGACCGAAGGACAACAACTTGGCTGTTCCCCTTCCCCAATTCTCCAACACTGTTCCCCTTCCCCAATTCCCCAATAAAATCTTTAAAAAAAATTACAAAATACTCCATATGGTTACATAAATATAGGTATTTTATGTATATATGCCATAGTAAAAGATCTAGAAGGACATCTACCAAATGTTAATGTATTATCTCTGAGAGCTTATGTTTACATTTTTGGCCTGACAAAATACTGAAACGAAGAGATGGAAGCAAGAAAGCTGAATAAACTATTTCAAGTCCCATTGTCTCCTGCCTCTCCCCACCCTCTCAGAGCCTTTCTCAAACAACAGTGAGGGTGCTGATTTCTTTACTACCCACACCAGACAGGCTGGCTCCCAACTGTATTGTGCCATAAATCATTTTTACTTACTTGGGTGTAAGTCTCTGTCCCTTAACAAGAGAGGTGCCAAAGGGGCAAGACCTGGCCATAATTATACTCTGTGACTCAACGGCTTGGAATTTCCAGGACTGTCCCAATCTCACATGTTATTTATTTTTTATTCAACAGCTCACATGCTAATTGAGTGGTGGGGGGCTGTCTATTGATACCTACAGGGTCTAGTATGCAAATTAAAGCACATTTTAATCACCTCAGCTAGAGATTCTCTGCTACCATCCCTTTGGTGATACAGGAACCCTTTGGACAGGGGACGGCTAACCCCTCCACCCCCGTATTCTGTCTTTGAAGCAGCAGCTGGCACAGAGCTTGAATTTGGGATGTGCCCAGCACTCAGCTCCCCTAATCTCATCAGTGCAACAAGCAGAAACAAGCCCAGCTCCCCAGGGCCACCAGGACCGGTTTGGGGCTCTCAGTGGGGACGAGCGTGGGTTAAACGCCATTGGGCCACAGCCATCAAATGCATCCACCTGATCACCAATCCCCAGACCCCCAGACACTCACTCCTCAGAGGGATCTCCTCGGGCACTGAGGAAGTCTCCGGAAGAGGGAAGGAGGCAACCCCGTAACCCGCAGCCCACAAGCTCCACGCCCTCTTTGCGCCTTCCGCCCCCCGCGCCCCTCCCGAGGAAAACTGCTACCCCTAACGTTCCAGCTGGCCGGGAGGGAGATGCCGGAGCGCCCGGGCCTACCCTGGGCGCCCTCCCCCCAGTCTTTCAGACTTCGGAGACACGGGGTGTGGGGCGCCCAGTTTCTTGGGATCCGGGGGGAGGGGGTAAGGCAGATAGAAAGGGGGCTCCGCGCCGGAGGACACAGAGGCTGTGTCACAGAAAGGGGAGCTCAGGGGGAAGTCGAGTACCCTGTTATTAACTTAGGGACCGGGCTCTCCCCCCTTGGCAGTGACGGGGAGGGTGTCCTCTGTAGAGAAGAGGGACCCGGTGAGGAGGAGGGTACCCATTTTCATGAATCCTGAGGATAGGGCTTGGAGGCTCCCCACCCACCTTTCCTAAGATGGGGCAGGGTCTCGGGGACGGCGGGGGTGGGATGGGGCTGGAAATGCCTCTACCAAATCTACCGTCAGGTGTAGGGGTGTGTGTGTGTGTGAAGTGAGGGCTTCCAGCCCGTCCCAGGGCCTCGGAGGCATGAGACTCCCCATATTACTAGACCGCGGACAGAGGGCTGCAGGCAGGGGACACCGACTGCACTCTCAACCCCTTGCCCGGCGAGGGGGTCTGGCCAGCGGGGCACCCGGTTCCCCAGCGCCGGAGCGGCGAGCTCTCACCTGGTCTGAGCGGTGGCGCTGACCCCGTCTGCAGGCCTAGCTGAGAGGCGGGACAACGAGGAGGAAGGGACGCTCGGAACGGGAGGGGCGGAGTCCGCTTCCCGCCCCTCGGCCCAGGCCCCGCCCCTTGGCCCGCGCCCCGCCCCTCAGTCCGCGCCCCGCCCCCTGCCGTCTTTCTCCGCCCCTCCGCTCTGCGGCGCTCGGCTCCTCACACCTGAGCGGCGTTACGTTCTGAGGAAAACCCCGGAAGCCGCTGCGCCGCGCGCACCTTTAGCAAAGCGCGCTTCTCTCCCTCAGCGTTTTGGAGCCGCCCGGGCAAGCCCGAGAGGTTGACAGATGAGGAAACTCTGGCTCAGAGAGAGTTGTCCTTCCTGTTCTCTCGTCTTGACGTGAGGATGCTCAGGCCGCCGCCGAGACAGGTGGACGGGCCGCTGAGAGTGAACGGGCTTTCGCAGGGTCTGAGGGCTTCCCCAACCTAAAGTGCCCTGAACCGACTCTTCTGGAAGCATCTCTGGAGCTTGAGGACACACAAGTCACGAGGGTAGGACTTTTGACTGGAAGGTTCTGAGCGTTACTTCTCAAACGCAGGAGGCGTCATGAGCTAGTGAAACTGCCGCGCCCCCCATAGACCAATGAGATGAATAGCTCCATTTTTTTTTTTTTTTTATAGATGAAAAGGTCTAAACTCAAGCCCCTCGGTGCCAAGTCAGAGCCGGAACACATGCTCCCTTTCTCAGTGGCAGCGCTGTTGACATTTTGGGCTGGAAAATTCTGTGTTGAGGGGGGCTGTGCTGGGCGTTATGGATGTTTAGCCGCAACCCTGGCCTCGACCCACTAGATGCCACTAGTATGCCCTGACTCCCCCCCTCCCCAAGTTGTGACAACTAAAACATTGCCAAATGTCCCCCTGGGGGTGGTGGTGGGGGGTGGGCACAATCTTTCATGGTTGAGAACCACTGCAGTACAGCCTACTGGTCAAGACCAAGGGCTGGGGGCAGGGGCCCCCAACAACAGTCCTGGGCTCTGGTTACTGGGCTGACTCACTGTGTGACCTTGGATGAGTGGCCTGTCTGAGTCTGGGCTTCATCTGTAAAATGATAGACCTGAGCACGGGCCTGGGACCTGCGTCCATAGCATCCCGGAAAATTAACTCTGCGCAAAGAGAAAAGCAGTCCCAGGGTTGTAATGAGGATGGGTGCAAGAATGGCTGTACGTGACTTAGCATCTACCTGGAACATTAGGGAAGGCTCCCCCAATTTTTGATGGTATTACTTCTACCAATGACTATTTCTAGAAATAATGAGGCTGGTGGATACAGAGATAAGTTTGGGGATAATAATAAGAAGCAGCTAAGGGATCCGGTTCTACAACAGCCAAGAAAAGGGGAGCTAATGGTGGAGCCAGGAGGACATGGACAAAAATAATGTCCCTAAATTGTGAAGCTTCAGGCAACCCTGTGTGGCTGCGTGCAGTTGGCTCAGGGGCAGTACCATGGGTACAATTGAAGCCTCCACTGGGATTTTTGTTCAAGGGTGCCATCTAGGGGCGCCTCTGTGAATCCCCTAATTCCTCCCACCTTTGTCATTTTTGTAGGGCCAGCCAGGTTTTTGCTTTCCCTCGTGTGTTGGCTGCCATGTCCACCGCAGTATTTATTCCCTGATGGCCGGGGTCTTAGCATCTCTCCATAGCATCCGGACTTGGCTCTTGGTGACCTTTCGATGGGTCGGTAAGATAAACACCTGGGCGGTCTCTTCTGTGCCTTTCCAGTTACTTATTCTGGCTAAGCAGCCATTTTAGGCCTCAGAAAAGATCTGCCAGGAGCACTGGGCTCTGAATAAGAAGTGTGTGAAAATTTTCCAGCAACAGAGTGAGACCCTAAACTGTTAAAACCACAGAGATGGGGACAGCCTAGACCCTTGGGGCCTCTTTCCCGCCATCTTGACAGATTTAGCAAATAAAAATGCAGGCCATTCGGTTCCATTTTAATTTCAGGTGAACAACAGATAACTTTTTAAATATAAGTATGTCCCAAATATTGAATGGAACATGCTTATGCTAAAAAATTCTTTGCTGTTTTTCTCAAATCCTAATTTAACTGGGCATCGTGTGTTCTGACAACCCTGTGGACTTGGGGTTAAGCAGGTTGAGGGATTTGAAGCCTATATCCTCTCTTGGGAAAATCAAACAGAAGGTTAAGTCAGACAGTTCTGGTGCAGGTGAGGTGGCCTGGGGTGGGTTGGGGATGGCATTTTCATTCCCCTTGGTACATATTTTATTTATTGTCCATCTTTCTTCAGACCCCATTGTAGGTTTTTGGTTGAAGCGATGGACTTGTACCTGTCCTGACTTTGCAACACTGACCTAGCTGAGTGACTATAGGCAGGTTCCCTAACCTGTGTCTCAGGTCCCTCAACCGTAAAACTTCAGATAACAGTTGTATTTATCTTCCAGGTTGTTGAGAAGATATGGGCAGATGATGCTCAGTAAGTGCTTAGCAACAGTGCCAGCATTTGGTCTAGCTCAATAAATGGAAGCTGTCATTATTGCTTTGATGATTTTGAACACAGGTAGACTCAAAACACAATTTCAGAGGGAGGCATGTCTCCTACTGACCCACAGGGTCGTGGGGCTTATTAGCACCATACCAGGCCCTTTCCAGTTCTTTGTTGGTTACAGCTGCTGGGTTTTGTAGGACATGGGCTTTCATGCCCTATTACAGGGGGCCTGGTGATAGCCCCATTTCTATCTAAACCAAAGTCTCAAACCCTGGTACTGGTTCATTTACTCCAAACACCCTTTGAGGCATATATATGCCTTATGGTAGAGAGTACTCATATAAGGGATGGGGAGCCTTGGGTTTATTTTGAAAGAGTGGCAAGCCCAACTTTGAGGAAAAAGTAAGAAAAAGGAGAAACGGAAGTACTTGGTGCCCAGTAGGTGTGCTCATCATAGCATCTCAGAAGTGTTTGTGGTCCGGAGAGGTACTTACGGGAAGAGCGCTGGGCTCTGGCATCTTAAGGACAGGGCTTAAATTGTATCAGCGCTACTTATAGGTTGTAACAACTTGAGAAAGTGATGTATCTCTCTCGGTTTTGGTTTCTTCATCCATAAAATGGGAACATTGTGGAGTTTCGGGAAAAAATTGAATGAAAAAAAACCCCCCAAAACAGGTAGGGAAGCATTGCACCCCAAAAGAGCTCAATAAGTCTAACTTGATTTTGAGAGAACTTTGAAGGTGACCACGTAACATGTGCTTTGAGTGTGTGCAGCAGCTAATATTGTAACTTGCGTGTGTGCGAGTGTGTGTGTGTGTGTGTGTGTGTGTGTGTGTGTGTGTTTCTGAGTTTATAATAAGAATAATGTTAGGCACAATATTTACTATGTTGGGTGGCCAAACTGTCCCGGTTTTTCCAGGATTGAGGGGGTTCCCAGGATGCAGGACTTAATAGTGTTAAAACCCAGAAGGTCGGGGCAGCCAGTTAGCTCAGTTTGTTAGAGTGCAGTGCTCATAGCATCAAGTTTGCCAGTTTGAGTCCCACATGGGCCACTGAGCTGCACCCTCCACAACTAGATTGAAATGGCTACTTGATTTGGAGCTGATGGGTCCTGGAAAAACATACTGTTCCCCAATATAAAACAAACAAAAACCCAGAAAGTCTCGGGAAACTGGGATGAATTGGTCATCCTTCTACTGTATGCAAATTGCTGTATAGGCATTGTGTTGTGAAATCTTCAAACCTACCCTATGAAGTAGGTGTTCACATCTTTGCCATCTGACATTAAACAAAGGACACTTGGAGAGACTAAGCAACTTGCCCAAGCCGTATAGCTAATTCACAGGAAGGACAGAATCCAAACCCAGACCTGTCCAGCTCTAGAGCCCAAGAATTTTAACTACCACACAACCTGCGTTTAGACTTCTCCAAAGGCACAGTCCTTTATTGCCTGCCACTCACCTCTACATTCCTGGATCATTGCTGAACACCCTCCCATCTTCCCTTCGGTCATCACATTTCCTGCTTCCTAGCTGGGCCTCCAGCAAAGGGACACACCAGGACATGGAGCGAAGTCAAGCCCAGTCTTGTACGGGCACCGCATAGGCCTCTCCTTCCTTAGCAACAGACGCTGATGCCTGGTTACGGGCCCCAGGGCCTAGGTGCAGTACTTCCAGTGTTAAAACAGCCCAGGGAGCGGGAGAGAGAAGAGTTCAGGCTGCCAGGGGTATTGCTTGGTGGGGTGCTTCCTCCCTATTCTGGTTTTTAATATGTAACTCTGCTTCAGTTTTTCCTCTCCACTGAGCCACTCAGTAGAAGGGAAGAGTGGCCATCGCAGGAGGAGTCAGAGCCAGAGCAGCAGAACCCCAGCGCTGCCTCTTCATGCTCTAGCTTCCCTTTCTCTCTGCTTTTTCTGGTTATTTATGGTCCTGTGGGCTTAGTGTTCTACCAGGGAACTCCTCGGAGTGGGGGGCGGGGGAGAGGTTCTGTGACCTCAGAGAGGCAGCCCTGTGCACAGAGCCTTCAGAACATCTGGAAAGTTCCATCTTCTGTGTCATCCCCATTATGCTATAAGAAAGTGTGAATTTCAGAGCCACTGGCAGGAGAGGCCGAAACTGAGAGCTCTCTGTTCATTTTTTAATAGGTCCAGTCAGAATGTACAACATGAGTGACGTGGATTGCTCATCTCAAAAGGTATGTACCAATTTTGAGTTGTATTTCTTTTTTTGTAACCTGTCTTTTCAACGTGGGAAGATGGGAGTGGGTGGGAAGGGGATGTTTCATAGACCGATTGCCACGTTAGAGTCCCTCGACTGAGCAAGTGTGCTAAGCATGTTTTTATGTTGTATCCTTTGAAATAGGTTTTTTTGCTGAATTAGGCTTTTGGGTCCAATCCTCAGGTTTTCTTGTGAAACTATGAAGAGCATATAAGCTGTTGCTCCTTTCCCTTGCCTTCCCAGGCCATTCGACTGTATATTCCCTCCGACAGTTCCCCACATTGGCTACACATCAAAATATCCTGGGGACCATCTTAAAAACATAGAGGCAGGCTCATTCCCCAAGATGCTGATCCAGGGGTTTGGAGTGGGGCCCTGGAATCTGTATATTCAGCTAAGCATCGAGTGATCCAGCAGTATCACTCAGTACTGGTCCTCAGTAGCAGGTCCTCAGGATATTTGGGAACGGCCTCGATGAAGGACATGCAAACATCACATGTAGTCAGAAATAAGCCACCCAATCTAGGTGACAGAATCTGGGTGCTTAAAGCCAAGACCCGCTAGGTGGGCAGACACTGAGGTGCCCAGGGAGCATTTTTAGTAGAAATGTTATGACATTAAAGTGGATTTGTGGAGAATGATGGGGCCCACCCTCTGAAGTGAAAATTCCCTGTAATAGAACCCGTAAGCATTAATAGTTTCTTTTTTAAAGATTTTACTGGGGAATTGGGGAAGGGGAACAGCCGAGTTGTTGTCCTTCAGTCTTAGTTGTGGAGGGCACAGCTAGCTCAGCTCCAAGTCCAGTTGCCATCCAGTTGCCCGTCAGCAGCTTGTGGCCACTCAGCTCAAGGTGCCGTGTTCAATCTTAGTTGCGGGTGGACGTAGCCCACCATCCCATGTGGGAGTTGAACCAGCAACCTTGTTAGGAGCACGCGCTCTCACCAGCTGAGCCATTCTGCCACCTGTTGGCAGCTCAGCGGCAGCTCAGCTCAGGCGCAGCTCACTGGCCCATGTGGGAATCGAACCAGCGACCCTGTTGCTCAGAGCTTGCACTCAACCAATTGAGCCACTCGGCTGGCCCAAGCATCAATATTTTTTTTAAATTAATATTCATAATCCCAGGAAAAGCATCAATATTTTTAACAAATCGTTTTGCATAGCTGGTTAGTTCTTACAAAACCCTCCATCTCATCCCCTGGAAGGCACCAGAGGCTTCTTAGCCACGTGTGGTCAAGAAAACCCTCTTTGTTCTGTTCGGGAATTGATTTCTAGATTGGCTGATGTCGTGTGTATCCCATGTGTGCCTATCCCGTGGACTGAGATGTTTTCTGCCATCAGGGTCTTTATGGTTCTGGGTGTATAAGCCTTAGTCAGTGCCTATGAACTTGCTCAGAGTTTAACTTGTTCTTCAGAGGTTTTCCTTCTCTCCATGGTGTCCTGCAAAATGCTTTAAGTTGGTTTGCTTTCTTTATTATCCCAAGGACAGCTTATCCCTTTGTTGGGTGGCTCAGCTGCCACTGTGTCTATCCCTTGGATGACCATCTCACAATGCGGAGGGACAGAAATAAAATTTACTCTGGCTCAAACTCAAAAAGAAACCTGTGGGCGCAAATAACCAAGAAGTTCGAGTTGGATCCAGGGGTCCAGCTGATGTCCCTGGGAGTCTATCTTTCTCATTCTGGTGGCTCTGCTTTCTCCTATGTGGGCTTCATTCCAAGGAACATTTTTTCCCACATAAGGAGGAAGAGTCAGGTTGATGATTGAAAAATGAAACCTACACAATTGTTGCGGATGAGAAAGGTGTTTTGAGGGCAGAGCCCTGTGCCTAAAACCTTCCCGGGGAGGTATCGCTTTATTCCTCACCAACCTACAGGCTTGGAAATCTTTCCTAATTCCTGAAGAGTGGCTCTGTTTCCATTTCCCACAGATCCCCAAAAGCGACTCGATACATCACATGAGCCACTCGCAGATGCGGCCAGAGCTGCCCCCTCTGCCTCCTTCTGCTCACGAGGAACCATCTGAACTCTACCAGGTATACTCACCTGGCTGTTGCTCTTCTGATGGTACTAGTGGAGCGGGGAGGGAGGGTGGGGCAAACAGTCAAGACCTGACAAGTGGGGTCAGTGGCTTTGGGCATTTCGGCCACCGGGAAAGGCTGCAGCAGTGAGGGAGAAAGGGCTATGCAGCAGCACACAGATGAGCTAGAACCTGGCCTTGTCACTTTCCCTCTGTGTTCTTTAAACTCTCTAATCTCCTGCATCTTCGATTGTAAAATGAGAGCCATTGTTTCCACCTTACAGCTGTGTCTGTAAGGAGTAAGGACAATATAGATAAACGACCTGACTCACAAACGTACTGTTTCTTGAAAGCCAGCTGTTAGCCTTGACATCAGAAGTCATGCTCACAGGGGTCAGAGAAGTGCAATTGGTGTTCATTCAGGAAGTATTTGCACTGAGTTCGCAGAAAGTAGAAACAGCTGGAGGCGTGTGTGACTCTGTGAGTCTCAGCAAGACTACAGCCTGGGCCCCTCCAAGCCCAGGCACCGCAAGAAGTGTCCCTGTCGTGCCTCACTCTGCGTTTCTTCCCTCGTAGATGGTCATGTCGCATAGCTTTCATCCCCCCTTGATGCAACGCACATCGTGGACCCTGGCTGTACCCTTCAAGGAGCAGCAGCACCACCGCGGGCCCAGCGACTCCATTGCCAACAATTACTCCTTGATGGCCCAAGACCTGAAGCTCAAGGACCTGGTGAAGGTCTACCAGCCGGTCACCATCAGCGTCCGTAAGGAAAGAGCCATTCAGGGGCTGTTCTCAGGTATTTGTGGGGTGCCATGCCAGCTTGGGATGGGGCTTTGGAGTGAGATGCGTAATCCTGGCTTCTAGCCCCGGCTCCACCGGCTGCTGCCTAACTTTGGGTGACTTAAGAGAGCCTCAGTGTTCTCATCTGTGACATGGGAATGTCACAGTTACCGTGCACCAAGCACTGCTCTCTGTCACGTGTGTGATTGATGGCTGCATGACACATTACCCCCAAAACATAGTGGTCTGAAACACCCACCCTTTATTATCTTATGGTTTCTGTGGGTCAGGAATCTGGACATGGCTTATCTGCATGGTTCTGGCTCAGAGTCTCTCACAAGTGTGCAATCCAGGTGTCAGCCAAGGCCCTAAAGGTCATCATCTAAAGGTCACTAGGGAAGACTCCTCCTCCAAGTGCACTTAACTGCTCAGGTTTGTGCTGCCTGTTGGCCTTAGACTTCAGTTTCTTGCCTCTTTGGGCCTGTCCATAGGGCAGTTCAGGACATAACTTCTGGCTTCCCTCAGAGGGAGCAAGAGAGAGGGCAAGAGAGAGAAGAGAGCCAGCAAGACAGAAACCACACTCCTTTTGAAACTTAACTTTGGAAGGGACATTTTATCACTTTCGCCATATTCTGTTTATTAGAAGTGACTTACTAGGCCAAGCCCGCAGTCAAGGGGATTTCACAGGGCGTGATACCCAGAGGGGGGATTATCGGGGGCCATCTTGGAAGTGGCTGACCGTAGTACTTTGTAAGTATTCATTTATTTAATCCCACCGGCTACACATATACCTGCCTAAGGGTATTTAATAGTTTTTGTTAGACGTATGTTGGAGCTTCTCAATCTGCCGTCTGTCTCAAACTCATGTTTTGTTTTTCTCAAACTTCTCATATTTTTCATTTTTCTCTCTGTGTGAATATCTCAGTTATATTCTTACGATTCACTGATTTGCTCTTCAGCTCTGTTCAGTCTTGAGTTTATCATGTCTAATGAATGTTTTTATGTTTTAATGACAACATCTTTTCATTGTCAGACTTTCTAATTGGTTCCGCTTAGGGGTGCCACCCCTGCCTGCGTCTTACTCTGTTGCAGGCATAGCCCATTCTGTATTACTTGGAGGATCTTAAACATTTATTTTGGAACATTATTGGTATGCTGTCTTATTTCCATTTGTAAATCTAATCCTTGTTTGTGGAGTGTAGTGCCTTTCTTTTCTAGTAGTGGTTTTTTCTCCTGTGTTCTTGGATTTTAGTTTTCAGTCTTATGTTGAGAGTCTTTTTCTTACTGCATGCACCCTCCCCAATTTTTACTGAGGTGTAGTTCACATGCAGTAAAAAGCACAGATCCTAAGTGTCCGGTTCAGTGAGCTTTGACCATTCTTTATACCGTGTAATCAACCCCCTAACAAGATACAGGGGTCTCCATCTCTAGAGAAAGCTCGCCTGTGCTCCTTTCCAATCAGCTCTCTCTTCTACCAACACCATCCTGCCCCAGAATAGCCACTCTCTGATTTCTGTCACCATTGATTAGTTGTGCTAGTTCTCACATATAAATGTAACCATATTTGCATTGGTTGTACTCTTTTCATCCTTCTTAATTGAGCTTTTTTTTTCTTCATATACCTTCATCTGTCCTCTTAGGACCACACATTAGCACCAGATCTTAAATCGGTGGCTTGGGGCTCTGATCCTAAGGTGTTATTAGGGCATTCCATAGATCTGGTCCCTGAAGCAGGGTGGGGCTTGGCCACATATGGTCAGCCTTTCTCTGCTCTCTCTGGCCACCGTGTGAATTGAGGGTACGTGTGATTTATCTGCATGGTAGTGCTGCCGTCTTTCCAACCTGTCTTCATGGATAGAGCCGTCTCGCTTCGGTCCTGGATTTATGCCGTGAGCCCAGCTCCAGTTCCCCACAACCATGGTGTACTTTCGGATTCTATTACACCCCCAGGTATCAAGCAGTTATAGCACTACTCCCCCAGCTGTCAAACACCTCCTTCTGCCTGTTTCTAGCTTTATGATTTTTACTTCATATTGTGTTTAGTTCTGGTCCACACAGAAAAGCATCTTGTTGAATAATATAATGTCCTTTTAATTTTTAAAGAGAATTTTGTCTATTACTGTTCTATTTGGAGTAGATTGAAGAGCTCGAAGTATGAACTCAAAATACATCTCAAGTCTTCAGTTCTCTTTGGTTCTCTCAAAATGCCAGTTTAATATTAGCACACCTTTAATACTTCTCTATTGCTTGTTAATTTTCTTAGGCTAGAGACTTAAGCAAGTAACAGTATCTAGTTAAAGGTTATTAATAGAGTTTTATATCATTTATTGAATTTATTTGTCGTTATCTTCTGTTTATTGCAAATGATACTGCTTTTCTATTTGCAATAATTATATTTATTGCAAATGATACTGGTTTTTCTTTTTGTGATAATCGTAATAGTCCCTTTAAAATACATAAAGTTTAAAAGTCTGAATATATTTAAAGAAAATATTAAACAATAATACACTTGGCATTTAGAAAACAGAATACAGGGTTGGGGAGTGAATTAAGCAGACACGTTGTTAATACGTGTCAAATGTATGGATGAGTGGAAGGTATGTTCATGTCCATTTCACAGGTGGGGAAGCTGACGCCTTGAGTGATGAAGTCACTTTTTCAGGGCTGCACGGATAATTGTGGTGCAGGTGGGACAAAAGCCTACATCCCCTGCCTCATCCCACCACACCAAGTCCACCCCTTATGCTCCTGGACTGTCCTGAGAGTCACATCCTTGTGGACAGAGGATGGCCCAAGGCCACTGCCCATCACTGATGTCTGTCTTCTCCACTATTCTAGCAACTAAAAGCTCCACAAAGCCCAACAAGAAGAAAATGAGGTTCTCCCCTGGCGACAAAGAGGATGCCGCTGGGTAAGGTGTCCCCGTGGGTACAGGGGTTTCAGGACACCAGGCTATGGTCTCATGAAAGCTGCGCTCTACTTCTTGGCTTCAAAGCATTCCTAGACAGTGACCGATGGGTTTTTTCCTGCAAATCCCCTTAATCCAAAAATTTTTTAGGCTCTAAATAAAAATAACCAATCAAGCCAAACCAGTGCTCACGTATCTATGAGGTGTTCCATGGTTAGAGGTCATCATGAAGGACGCACCCTGCTACTAGATGCCACACCCTGCTACTAGATGCCACAGAGGAGAGGGGCTTGCACTGCACGGTGACACTATTCTGGTTGGAGCAAATCAGCCTGACACCGCAGCCCCTCTGCACAGAACCCAGGGCTGAGCTGTGGCTTCTTTTCAGGACCAAGTTCGCCCACAACATCTTAGCCGAGAAGGAGGCAGTGACCTTTTCCACCCCTCCGGGAAGCAGACCCATGAGTCCAGAGGAACAGATGAATGTGATGTTACAGGAGGAGATGGAAATTGAAAGTAAAGAGCCCAAGCCATCCGAATCAGACTTGGAGGTACGCTCTCGTTGCTTTCTTTTCCTCGACTGGCTGAGTGTTACACTTGGCACCTCAATGATTCTGAACAGGTAGTAGAACTGCTGAATCGCCCGGGGTGTGTTTTAAAATACCAAAGTCCAGAGCCCACGACAGACTACTGAGTGTGTGTGTGTGTGTGTGTGAATAAGTCTTAGAAATCGGTACCTTTGGGTCCTCTTGGAGCATAGGTTGCAAAATGGTGACCCACAGGCTAGGGTGAACAGATGCTGAAAAACAAAACACAAAACAGGACACCAGTTAAATTTGAATTTCAGATAAACAGTGAATCATCTTTTAGTAAAAGCGTATCCCAACACACCCTGTATTTTATCTGGCAACCCTACCATGGCCTGAATATGGCCAATAGATGTATTTTGAAAATGAAGGAACTCTCACATAAGCTAGATTTCTAACCTCTCTTGAAAAAATTATTTGAAAGCTGAGAAGTAGCTGCCTCCTTTCGATGAGAAATACATTCTCCAGTTTGTCACAGCATCCACCATTCCTTCTTATTTTCTTATGTCCAGACAACGTTCACTTATTAACGTTACCTGCTTGGTTCCAGGTAGACTTTTGAGTTTCTAACCCCCATCTTGAAAGAAGAACAACAAAACTTGAGAGCAAACAGCTTGTGAGTTTATAGCGTCCAGTGAAATGAGTCAAAGTGAAAACTCACAGTAACTGTGTGCTATGCACAGAATATGTATTAAGACATCGAGATGTCTGACGCATTGAAGACCTGGGTACTATGATTATTCCTGTTGTCCAGGTGTGGAAATTGGGGTGTAGGCTTATTCAACACCTTGCTCCAGGTTATGCCATTAGTAAGAGGCACAGAACTAGGACTTAGGCCAGGTCTGGCTGATGCTGGAGTCTCTGAGCTCTTAAGAGCTACGCAGCATTTCTCAAAACGGACTGAAGATGAGACTCAATTGGGGTACTTGTTTAGAAAAAACCAAGACTGCCTGGGAGGGAGGGTTCTGTGAAACTGCATGTTAACAAGAGCCTCTCTCCCCACCCTAGGTAGTTCTTATAATGAGGGGAGTTTGGAAGTGTTATAAGCAACTTCCATTAAGTTTGGAGGAAAGTGAGTTCAGCCTTTTTTGACCACGGACAATTGGCCCTGAAGCTGAAAGCTGGTGTCAGACCTTTTTCCTATACTTGGTGCTTCTCATTTATGTGAAATTACTCATTCCTAGAGCCACTCAGCACTCCAGCAGCTTAGAGGCAAACCCCAAATAAATAAAACTTCCTGAAGTCACCAGGTCAAGTGGGCCATTTTTGTTCAGTTTGTGCGTTTGTGTGGCTTTTCTACACTCAGAAGGCCATGGCTGGCTTAGAATGATCGTTAAGTCTCACTTGGATTTGGGGAAATTTTTTTCCCCAGCTGCCAGCTACAAGCCACAGGATCAGAGTGCTCTGTAGATGACCACGGTTATTGAGCAGAGGGAATGATTTGAGTCCATTGGAGGAGCTTGTCATCCCCCCACTTAGAGCTCATCCCCGGCCTCAGTCCTCACTGTTCCTGTCCACGTGGCGTTGGACAAGTCCTGCCTTCTTCCCCACTGCAATTTCTCGGGCTCTGGTTGAATCCCCCAGAGTCATGGGAAGAACTTACCAGCGATCTAGTGTAGTGAGTGTGAAGTCACAGGCCCAGAAAGCATGACTGCTAGCGAGTAAAGGGTGGGGATGGGCGCTGTGTGAACTGCCAGGGGTGTGCTGGTGGGCACAGCTCGCCAACCATGACCCTTTTCTTTCTGGCGGTTTGTTCATGGAAGAGGTACTATTACTATTTGACCAACGGCATCCGAAAAGACATGATTGCCCCTGAAGAGGAGGAAGTGATGGCTCGGATTTCAAAGCTGATTTCTAACACGCTGCTGACAAGTCCCTCCCTGAAGCCCCTGGTGAACGTCCTGGTGGAAGAGAAGGGAAGTGACTATTACAGTAGCCTCATGAAAAGCATTGGTAAGGCGGGGCGGCAGCTTACTGGGCCCCTGAGAACACAGTGTGCTCGGGGTCCCTGCTGAGTAACCGAGAGTGAGCCTGTTGGTTACAGTTGATTACATCCTCATGGACCCAGCGGAGAGAAAGAGACTTTTCATCGACAGTGTGCCCCGCGCGTTTCCGCAAAGAGTGATCCGGGCCCCTGTGCCCTGGCACAGCATTTACCGGGGTGCCAGGCAGTGGAATGAGGAGCACCTGCACACGGTCAACCCCATGATGCGCAGCCTGGAGGAGCTGTGGTTTGCAGAGTAAGGATGCCCCCCTCTTGTCATGGCTCCCCCACACAAGAAAACCTCATATGCTGGGCACGGTGGCACAGGGCTGCCCTTGATGTGAAATGACAAAACTCCTAGGCCCAGGAGGCGTAGGAACTGTAAGTGACAGTCTCCACACAGGGGTCAGTGGCCCTCCTTTGGGTTCCCCAGCACCCCCATCTCTGAGCACTGGGGCGCACTGGGTCAGAACACAGATTGGGGCCAGACCGCTCAGGTCCCGCTCATAACCCTGCTGCGCTTCACAGGTAACATAGGTGTGTTACATCACCGCTCTGGGCCTTGCTTTTTGTGTCTCTAAATTTGGGCTAATGAGAGCTCCTCCTTTGTAGGGATGGTAGGAGGAATCAGTACTTGCTACATGCAAAGTGCTTAGAGCCCGGACACACCGGTGCAGTCGGGCTCGTCGATCTCCTCTTTGCAAGCGTTCTCGCAGATGCTCCTCTCCCTCCGCAGAGGCCCCGGTTTCTCCGACATACTTAGTTTTGATCTGATCCAATCTCCCCTCATTGAAAAACGAGCATGGATGCCTTCTGAGCCCGTCCTGCACAATTTGCTATTCAGTGCCGTCTCCGCTCAGGCGGTTGCTCCCTCTCTTCTGGCAGATTTAGAGACCTCCGGTTTGTGCGAACAGAGGAGTTACTTGCGGGACAGTTGCCTCTGCAGTCTCATGAGTATAGAGATGTGATCCAGAAACACTGCATGGAAACACGCCAGACTCTTCTCAACAAGTCAGTATCTGGCCTCAGCGTGGGGCTGCGTCACATGATCCCAGAGACGTAGAAGCGAACACTGGTTTCCAGCCCGGGGTTTGCACAGTTAACTGACTTCCCGTCTTCCCTGTCCTCTTCCCTGCATGTCCCCATCCCCTGGCAGCCTTTGCGTCTCCTTATGTCCACTGCTCTTCAACCCCCACTCCTCGGCTCCCTCTGCCTTTTTGAAACGCAGTCCCCTTCTCTGAAACCCTCATGGCCTGGCTGGGTTACAGGACAGTGTGTTTGAATGGCTGGTGTTCAGGTGGCCCAGATAAACAGCCTCCAGGTTCCAAGGTTACGGGGTTTGGGGGCCACTTAGACAATTCCTTTTTCTTTGCAAATGCATGCAGGACTGTGTCCGGAGCCTGAGGAATTCCCTTATGTAAAATGATAACGAGAATCCCTACCACTGGCTCTTTATGACCGGTGACTGTGGATGTGTAATAACGGGCACATAGCAGCTACTCAGGAAATACCATAATTACCCCTGAGACTGTGACAATGACTAGTGCTTCTCTGATTGCTAGTATAGTCGTTTTCTAGCAATCAGCAAAGAAACGTGATAGGATGAAAAGGCCAGTGGTTCCCACTGGGAATTAGAAATTGGGGGAAGTCGGGAGAAAGGAACCACGAGGCGTTCATTTCTTCTTGTGGTTCCCTAATTCCTGCTCTCAGCCTCTGAACAGCCTCTGCCACACTGGAGTTTGTCCTCCCCAGGTTCTCTTCCTTTGCTCCTCTTTCTCTCCTTACCCATAAAGTCTGAATCAGAGGTCAGGCGGTTTCCAGGGAAAGAAGTCGCACAGAACAGTCCAGGTCCTCATGCTCCTTCACCCTAGTCTCTGATAATAAGGGTAAAATATGGACTCTCAGCAGGATGTGTCACCAGTATCCCATCCATTTTGTCATTGCTGATGGAAGAAGAATCTCTCACTTCAACTCTTACTCCTTTCTTTCTAGGGAAGGGTTGTTGGCAGGTGAGGTGGCCAGGACATATGTGAAAGTACTAACTTGCAGAGCTGCGGAGTGGGAAATGAGCCATCTCCCTTGTCACAGAGGGTAGGGAATGGCTGAGAGGACTTCTCAGAGCTCGGAAGAGGTTCTTACCTGGATGTCTTTCTGTCCCTACAGGTGGATCCCTGCCTGTGCCCAGCTTTTTGTCTCACGGAAGGAGCAGTGGGTGCATTTTGCTCCCAAGAGCGACTACGACTCCTCTCGTAACATTGAGGAATACTTTGCTTCTGTTGCGTCCTTCATGTCACTCCAGCTCAGAAAGCTAGTCATTAAGTCTCTCAAGGACCTTGTTTCCTTTTTCATGATATACAAGGTATGTAGGGGCCAGAAGGAGGCCCTTTTTGAGGGGACACAACCACGATAGAATCAGGATTCCATCACATAGGTCCTCAGCTGTAAAATTCTTGATTTGTACACACATCAGGTCATTATTAGTTTATAAAAATGATTTCTGTGAATACGCAGCAAGCTTTCCTGGCATAATTACCTCCTACTAAATTGGTGAAAATCTACAGAAGTGGAGACATTGTGAAGAACATTTAAATAGTGAATAAAATGGAATATATACCTTGGAGTAGGAGGAGTCATCACTTTTTCATCCTCTCTGTTCAGGGGTTGAAAAAAGTTTGTTTTGTTATCAGCCTTTGGCTGGATGCTTGAGGAGTGTTGTGGGTATGTTGCAGATGCTGACTCTGTTCCCCTGTCTTTGAAAGGGGTGTTCCCTAAGAACAAAAGGCTCTGTACCTGGTTAATTACTTCCTTCATGAAACTACTTCAGCGGAGTTGAAATAAAACCCAAAAACACTAAGTCCTGGTTTTCAAAGCATCATAGCATTCCCTAAACTTGGGTAGCGTAGGGATCCTGGGAGATTCTTCTGGATTTTATACCATGTGGACATTTTACCTTAAACAGTAAAAAAAAAGTTAAAATTGCCTGGTTACAAAACGTTAAGTTTTAAGCATTTTCCCAAATGGAATAAAGGTGAACTATGGACCTTTTGCTCAAAAACCCTAGAAAACAAGGCTGCTGAATGTAAACTGCAGTGTTAGCTCCCTGATGAGGACCGATCTCTAGGTGTCACTGTCATTCTGCTTAGCAGAAAAGACTCAGCTGTGGGCACAAATCTCGCTTTAAAATTCCACACAGAGGACATCATACGTCCAAAAGAAAGGGGAATTTACTATGGGTATTTGATACATAGTAGATGTTCAACAAATGTCAGTCAACCTTAAACGGATCTAGAATGTCTAAAAACAATTAGTTAGACGAGTACTTTAGAGCTGCCCTATGGCGATTGCATTAGGCACTGTCGTTTATGAGTTTTCTTGTATGACTAGCCTGCATACAGAATTAGGAATAGCTCCAAGCCAATATTTCTGTTACAGGAAGGGTGACATTTTGAGTGTCTAAAATAGACTATGTGTTCGTTAGCAACTCATCTAAGGTATGTGCAGATAACTGATTATACTTTTGGATTCAGTCAACACATTTTTATTGATCACCTACTATGTGCTAAATGCCACTGTGGATATTTCCGAAGAGGTAGATGGTTGAGACACAGACCCTGCCCTCAAGTTTAAAGTTAAATAGAAAAGATGAGATAAATCTTTGTAAGAGGGAAAGATAAAAAAGACCATGAGGAAGTGGAAATATGGGAAGTTCGGAAGTAGAAGAGATTACAGCTTGCTAGGGAACAGGGAGGCTTCCCAGGGTAGGCGATTTTGAAAGATGGGAAGGATTTGGAAATTCGATGAAGGAATTTCCAAGCAAAGTAAACGTTCTGAATAAAAGCTTTGGGGAAGGAGAGAGGATGAACTCAGTGTGGGCTAAGCCGGACCCAGCCCTTATTTGAACCTTGAACAGTGCACGATACCCTCCATTTCCTTCTCTGGTGCTCATGTCGTCCTGTGAATGGGTGACATCCAGTCCCTTGGCTCTCGAGGGCCCCACTTTGTGACAGTCGCTATGTCTTATGTGTCCTGAAGGATGGGAACGATTTCGAGGAGCCTTACCGAGAGATGGAGTTCTTCATACCTCAGCTGATCATAGTCAAACTTGAAGTCAATGAGCCCGTTATTGTCTTCAATCCATCTTTTGATGACTGCTGGGATTTAATCCACAACTCTTTCTTGGAAATTATTAAGAACTCTGAGGGGATCCCCAAGGTACAGTAGTCACTTAATCATTCATTTGCTCTTTGATTTACGTATTGCATAAAATATATTTTAAATGGTTGTCTGTACATGCTATTCAATGAGGGGAGTTTCACTTTGGGAGACCTATCCTGAGCACCCCCGCCTTGACCCCAGGAAGAGGATTTGGGCCAGAAAGAAATATTCGTGCATCCCAGAACTGAGCATTAAGAGTTACTGTGTGACAGAGTAGTATTCCCCCCATGATGCCAACCTCAAAAGGGCAGATGTGCCCAAGCCATATCCGATGTGGGTTGATCATTCACGATGGAGCAATTGCTGTGAACTTGCCAAGAATCTTTATAAAACTATATCTGACTTGGCTCTTGAGTTCTAGATGTTTGTTTGTTTGTTTGTTTGTTTAGCCACTTTGATGTTGAGGGCAGAGACTCAAGTCCCCCTCCTGACCCAGGCCCTTTCCAGCTTCCTTTCCAGGTGGAATTGCTAATCTGACGCCAGACATGTGTTAGGAGACGTAGGACTGGGCAGGATCACCTAAACGAGTGTGACTCTTTGCGCTCCATCATCTTCTACTTCCCTCTGGGTGGTTGAATGTGGTATGGGGACCGGTGTCTGGCCCCACACAGGGGAGGAGCATGTGGGGTGTTTCTGTCTCCCCGCCTGCCTCCCCCCTTCCATTACGTGTGATGCTTAGATGCCCTTCAGCACAATTCTGTGCTTCCAGGGTTGGTCCTAAGAGCTCAAGATTCAAGTTGGGGTTTGTAGGGAGGCATGTGAAATCAAATGCTCCAGGTGATCCCACCAGAGAACTCTAACTGTGGTGTTCTGAGCTGAGCTGAGCCTGGTTAACAGGAAAACCGGGCATGTGGAGGGAGAAGAAACAGTAGGCAGCTCCCCTACAATCAGTCGCCCCAGGAAGGAAATGAAAGAGAAGACCCTGTAATTTGGAAGGATGAGTGTGGGGCTTGGGGACAGATAAAGTACAGACCACATGATCTCTCAAACACTGATCAGCAGTGTTTGCAGGCAGCTGTGCTGGGAGAGCCTGGGGCTCACGGCTGCTTCTGTCCCGCAAACAGCCCGGCAGGGGCTGGTAGTAGATACAGTGGGTGTAATGCCAAGACCACGTAGCCATGGGGCGCGGTTTGTGCCAGGTTTGAAAGCAGGGCCCAAGTGAATGCCAGTGACTTCATCAGACTATGAGAAAAAGCTGCCCAGGCCCCAAGTTCTCCATCTAGAGACATGCACAGCACTGGCTCCTGCCCCGACCTCCTCGGGCTTCTATTTATTCTGAACTGGGTAGTGAAAATGTGAGAGGAGTCCCTCAGCTTGAGTATCTAAGAACAACAACAGATGGACAGTCCCCCCACCCCTGCCATCCTGCCTTATTTATGGTTAACGATGAATTTCAAAAGTTGGGGAAACGTCAGCAGGAGATGTTTGAAAATAGCCCTCAGGGTGCAGAAGGAAAGCATGTTTGTGGGGAAACCAAAGCAAATGTTAGCAAATCGTTGTCTTAGCGAAAAAAAAAAAACACCTTAGGAAAACATGGATGCTCTACTGATTTAATATTGACCGAGGGAAGAGAGGTGAGTAAGAGGCATGAGTGAAAGGAAGGTGGATGAGGTAAGGGAAGGGTTTTCTAAAGCTAAAAATGCACTAAGGATTTAAACCAGCATGAGCGGCCATGACTTCCGTAATCCGAAAAATACATACGCTTCTATGGGAAGGGCTGCTCAGGCCAGTCTCTCTCCTGGTGAGAGAATTTTCTCCCTCAAAGTGCCAGGGAGATGCCAAAGTTGAAATGTGGCAGGCGTCAGCACCGAGGGTGATGACAGAGCCAAGAGATCCGGGATCAGTGGGCCAGGGCGATAAGAGGCAATGACAATGATGACCCGAAAGGCCGCTGTTGTCCTCAGCCCAGTCCTGCAGCCGGTGCTGCAGGGCGCGGGGAGAACCAGCCACGTTTAAAGGGCAACCGGAGGTGATGCTTCCTGTTTCGATCAAAGACTTCTCCTCAGGAGAAGGAAGCACCAGCTGTGGGGCCCTAACCCAATCTGTCCACACGCTCGATGACACCCCATCTCCTTGTCTTCAGCCACTGGCCACAGCAGAGAAACCTTTCATTGGCTTCAAAACCTCTGTAATGACCTAAGAGGGAAGACGCAGGTTGTTTGCACTTCTTTTTCCCCTTTCTAATTCGATGTTTTCTCATCAACAGCACATACCCAGGGAAGCAGTCCGAGGCCTGTTCTGATGGTGATCACTAGAAACTTCCTTAGCAGGCAGGGCAGTGGGTCCCCAGCAGGGACGTTGCAGCCTTCATGAGTGACGCAAACGAGAATGTTTCTCAGAGACATACACATGCCATTGAGAAGTCAGAGCATTTGAATTTTCAGAAGAGATGCTGTTCATTGCCTCTTGATCATATAGCCATTGCTTTTCCCCCCTCTGAGCTGAGAGAAGACTCTAGCATATCTCTCCTTTTCTTCAGATGAGAAAACAGGAGTTCAGAGAGGAGAATTAGCTTACCTAAGGTCACACAGCCAGTCAGGATTAGAACCCACGTCTCTAGTAGCTTTTCATTGGTGAGAAAGAGTTGATGGGGTGGGGCGAGCACCGCTCTAATACCCATTCACTCACACAATATTGACTGAGCACTTACAATGTGCCAAGCCCTTGGTGGGCCCGTCACAATAGTGACGAAGTCGGATATGATCCAGGCCCTCGTGGTATTTATATCACATGATGAAGCTAGCATAGCTCATTACATATTCATGTAATGACAGCTGTGATGACTGCCGAATGGAACGAGTTTAGAATGGAAACTCAAAACAGGGAAACCTAACATCCACTGGGGGCCCAGGGGACTCTCTAAGGACACAAAACTTGAAAGGAATAGGGGTTAGAAAGATGGGTAATCCTACAGGAGAGAGAGACGAGAGAGCCCAGCCTGTCCCAGGGGAGATGGAGGCAGACTGCAGCTGGGGTCCTGGAAGTGAGCTCGCCGCGGGACTTGGCATTTTGGCGCGTCTCCCTTCTCATGACTTGTGGACGTTTTGAGACATCCAAAGGTGGTTTCTACTCTTTAGGTGGAATCTGTCCTGTTCTCAGAGTTGAAAGGATGTAACCTGATTCTTCGAACCGTTAGCCCTGAAGAAAAACTGGTTTCTGATTTTGTGGAGCAAGCTTTCGCGGTATTTCAGAAAAACCACGTGGGTCCCCACAAGTAAGTAGTGACTTAATTGTTAGCCTTTTGGGCATTGGTGTAGGATTCTTAACCATCGTCAAGTGAACAAGCCCCGTTCCGTGCACCTGATACAATACGTGATAATAGCCAGCACTTATTTCCATGGGCATTACCGTTTATGCCCATTTCACAGATGAGGACACTGTAAGCTCCCCAGTGTGAGCAGCAAGTCAGCAGGAGAACCAGGATTCCAGTTCGGTTCCAGGTCCACCTCCATTACCCGAAAGCCCTCGGGTCAGACAGGTTTGGGCATTTAGGAATTCCTGGGTTTTACCCCAGTGACACAGGCACGTGTCATGTACCGTGCTGCAGCTTCAGCAGTGTCTGGGGCCACACCCCGTGACTGAGCATTGATTGACATTTCTGTTGTGAGCCCTGAATATTCTCACCAATGCTCCCCCCTCCCCCCATCCTTTCAGGGCAGCTTTTGCTCTCAAAGGGATGGGGAAGCGACTTCCTCTTTTCAGAGCTTAGACTTGGGGATGAAAGGAAAGGGGTTGAGACCAGTGACCTGAATGTTCCTTAGTCATCACACTGTGGACTGTCTCCCAGTTGTTCCCGTGAGCAGCCACACATTAGGGGGACCGTGGAAGGCAGCTGCCAAACTGAGACACTGGCAGAGCGAAGAGGGTGTGATTACCACTTACCAGGGGACACTAGGTGTGACCTGGACTGTTCCATGCAAACCAGGATGTGTGATCACCCCCAACCTGGGGCTTCTTCACTGCTGCTCTATAGACATTTTAGACCCTAAAATTCCATACTATGAAGCTGTCCTGGGCACGGTAGGATTTTTAGCAGCATCCCTGGCCTCTACCCATGAGAGGCTAGTAGGAGCCTCCCCCAGGTGTGACAACCAAACATGTTCCCAGACATGGCCAAGATTCCATCCCTGGGGGCATAATCGCCCCAGGTTGAGAACTTCCTGCTAACCTTTTCTGACAATCATGGCCTTAGATTTGGAAGCTCTGAGCTCGTGAATTGGATTTGGGGCACTGATTTGAGACCTCTGTTCTCCCTTTTCTTCAGGGAGGCTCACTTTTGGCTTCTGCTTGGGCCTCAGGTTCAGGGTGTCTGAAGTGTCGGTCAGTGCTTAGAAGTGTACCCACGGGCCCCCCACACAGTTAACTCTGCCTTCTCCGCACCAGCTTTATTTTCCTTCAAACTTGACTTAAAGTCAGAACATCCCAGACATGCCTTTGTTATGGGGGAAATGGGTCCAGCCATTGTGTGATCTGTTCACAGAGGGAAACTTAACTTTATTGAGTGGATTTTAGGTTTATTGGTTCCAAATTTTCATCTTAAAATTTAGACATAGAATTTTAGAGCCGGAAGGAGGGATAGGAAATTCACTGTATGTCAGGCTCAGTATTAATCGCTTTATCTATACACATTGTTACATTTAAGCTTTACAACAGCCTTGTGACATGTTATCATTGCCACTTAAAATTAGAGACACTGATCTTCGAAAAAGAGAAATACCTTGTCTAATTCATGCCTCCAGGAAGTAACAAAATTGGAGTTTGAAGCAAGAGTTCTGAATTTCTAGTCCATTGGACCTTTTCCCACATTATAGTCCTCTTTCATGGTTTGGGGGAATTTTTATGTTGCAGTCTCTTACTTTGCCACTCTGACTAATCTGACTTGGTGACCTGGATTTGTTTGTTTGATTTTTATGCTCTTCAACATCGAAGATACTTAAAGGTATACAAAAAATATGATGACTTATTGGATAACACGGCAGAGCAAAACGTCACTGCGTTCTTGAAAGAAAATCATGAAATTGAGGATTTTGTAACGGTAGGAGATGCCACTTGACATTTCATATCTTGGTGACATGCTGCAGACTGTCCACTGAGTAGCCAGCGTGTTTCGCTAGCATATATGTTGCATTAACCATCAGACCTGGCTGGCCGGGGGGGTGAGGCTGTGGGTCAATGCAGAGACACTGAAGACAAATGAAACGATGACTATGCTCCTTTTTGCAGAGGATCAACAGCATAAAAGCTCGGAGACATGAGATTGCGTCCATGCACATTTCCGTGCCATTGGCCATGTTCTGCCTTGATGCCATGCTTCTAAATTATGACCTCTGTGAGCGAGCCCAAAATCTGAATGACCGTCTGATTGATTTCCAAGTGGATATAAACCGGGACGCCAATACCAGGTACCGTTATGTGTGCACAGAAATCACAGTGGCGTTGAGCATGGACGGGTGGACAGACACGAAGCCAGATCTTACGCCTTCTGACAAGGACCAGCCCAAAGTTCTAGTTCAAGTTGTTTCTGCTCCCAGTGTGAGAGTAGCAGGGAATTGAGGTTCAGGCCAGAAGGTGAACAGGAGGGTGAACGTTCCGTAGGGCTTGTGGGGGCAGGGTGGAGAGATCACGAGGCAGCCGTCTGTGATCCTGCAGCCCTTGCTTGTGGGCAGCCTCGGGGCGGTGCCGCTGCGTGAGCTCAGCTCTCTGAGGTCGCAGGTCTCCTCACCCATCATCACGCGGACAGCAGAGACACAGAGCGCTCCCAGGCCCCCGGAGAACCACTCCTGTGCTGATTCTGCCCTATAGGTCTAGAGCCTGTCATCCCATCTTAAGCCCAGTACTGTGCCTTCATTTTACTGACAGCTACCTATATACGAGTCAAGATGTTTGGGGCTGTGAGCGACAGAAGCCCACCCAGACTGGCTAGCGTGAAAAAAGGAAGTTGGGGCTCACGTGCGGAAAAGTTGGAGCTGCTCGCCTCAGGCCATCAGCCCTCAGTTAGGGTGCAGCCTCCCTCCCTCTACTCAGCTTGCCTCTGTGTCAGCTCCGTTCTCTGACAGGCTCTCTCTAGGGTGTGCACCCCAGCAGCTCCTGGCTGACATTCTCCCAAGTTCCCATCCAGAGGGGAAAGAAGGCTTTCTTTTTTCTTTTTTTTTGTTTTGTTCTTTTTACTGGGGAACAGTGTGTTTTTTCCAGGGCCCATCAGCTCCAAGTCAAGTAGTTGTTTCAATCTAGTTGTGGAGGGCGCAGCTCTTTGGCCCATGTGGGGATCGAACTGGCAATCTTGGTGTTATGAGCCTGCGCTCTAACCAACTGAGCTAACCGGCCACCCCAAGAAGGCTTCTCGTTTTCCAACTGCCTCACAAAAATGCTGGCCTGTGTGACACTGGCCTGATTGGCTCATTTGTGCGACACCAAACTGACACCAAACCGACCCTGTGGCCAAGAGGATGGCTTAGATCTGGGTGGTGTTCCCACCTTTGGGGGATGTCAGCCTTCCCTAGACCATGTGGACTGAGAGAGGGAGAGGGGGCTCCCCAAGGAGACTTAGGGTGTGGTCACCAGAAGAGGGAGTGATGCTGAGCGGCTGGGGCAGCAACTGTCGGCTGCTGTGTCTCTTATTTGCATGTTACAAAATGGTTAATCCGTGTTATTCTAGCTTTCGTCCTCAGAGAGCTTTAAACTGAAGACTAAAGTGGCTTAGTAATGGTGACCATTGCTAACAGTGTTATATATTATGTTATTCATAGATATGTGAGTAGAGCTATGTAACTTTAGCACTTTATACTACTTTCAGGTTTATAAAAATAACGTGTCAGAAACTCATAAGCAAATGAATGATAACACTAGCTACCATTTTACCAGCACAGGTGACAGTCCAGGCCCCGGGTAAGCATTCTGAACATTACAGACCTAATAGGTCTTCAGAACAACCGTCAAAGGTTGTCCATTATCTCTCTGTTATGATAATGAGGAACTCGAGACCCCAGGCTGTTAGTGATTGGTGCATCTGGGGTTTAGCCTCATTTATTTTGACCCCAAAGTCCTGCTCTCCACCACACAGCTTTGTCTCCCTGAGTGGTGACATGTTGGGTTACCTGGTTTGGGAGCCAGGAGACTTGGTTTTGCATCCAAGACCTTCCGCTTACGAGTTGTGTGCCCCCTGGAGTCACTGCTCAGATCTTCAGTTTCTTTGCCTACAGAATAAAGGTTTGGGACTAGTACAGTAAAAGGTTTGCAGCCTTCACAGTGCTAGGACACCTTCTTTGTAAAGTCTGAGCATCAAGAAATTGTTTTCATAAGCAATAGACCTTTTGTTTTTGTCAAATCAAAGCAACACGGTGTTTGGTTGGTTAGTGCATCCATCCTCATCGAAATAAACGTATACTTTTCTTAGGCCTTTTTATTTATTTATTTATTTATTTATTTATTTATTTATTTATTCATTTATTTAGCTGAGCCATCCTGCCACCTGTGGGCAGCTCAGCGGCAGCCCTGTTGCTCAGAGCTCGCACTCTTGACTGAGCTCTTAACCAACTGAGCCACTCGGCCGGCCCCAGGCCTTTTGTAAGTGAAAATAAGGGTCCCATTACGAATGCCAGAGATTTCTAAGGAAGCAGAAACCCCAGGTTGGTGGCTGAGTCAACTTTTTTTCTGTCTTAAAAATAGTGACTGTGACTCATTTGACCTTCTCAACAACCCCATGAGGCAGGTAAGACAGATGTAAGGCCCCTTACAGAATGGAGGACAAAATGAGGCCCAGAAAGGGCCAGTAAGTGAGTTTGAATTTGAGTCGCCTCATCCCAAACCCTGACCTTGCCACTTCATTGTCCTGCCATTGCTGTGCTGAATGGGGTGCCTTCCTGTTTCCAGTCACCAGGTAGACCCTAGAATGGGGTGCTCTGGGCATAAAGTTGGGGGCACCTTGGAGTGCATGGGTAGGAAGTGGGCATGCCATTCATACCCCCTCCAGGGACACTGTCTAAAGTCGCTAGAACGATGACCTGAAGTATGGACCACCATGCAGGGCCTAGAGCGGACATATGAAGTGATCCATTTGGTCCAGTGCTTGTTTGCTTCATGGTGAGAATTCTCATCCAAACAATGACAACAGGCAGAGAGAGGGCACAGATTGGTACAAGATTTGTGGGTGTCCCTTATGCCATCCCTTACACCAAACAGAGGATAGCCCTGTGCTCTGGGACCCCTGGGCCTTATAGATTTGAAGTGATATTGTCACTACCTGTAGAAGGCAACATTTCCTGTCCTCAGCTCATCCCTGGATATTGCTGAGGTGTTTTGTGGTCAGGTTCCTGATATCACCAACTTGTACTCAGGACCTTTTAGAGAGTCTGGTAGATACTAGGTCCGCTGCCACCCTTCTGGGCCCTCCCAAGAGGCTGATAGCCAGTGGCCACAAGGTATTTACTCGATGCATTCTTATACAAGAGGGAAGAAGATGGGGTCCAATCCAGTACGAGTCTGTGAGACAGAGAGCATCTACCTGCATTGGGTAGGCTTAGGCTCGATGCTGGAACACGTGGACCCAAGATGTCATGACTGAACACGATAGACATTTATTTTTTGCTCAGGGTACCTCAAGTTGGTGGAGGAGACCTACTACGTACATTCAGAAACTCAAGCAATTGGTGACTTGACATCTTCAACATGTAACTTTCGAGGTCATTCTAAGTGTTGACGTCGTAGACAGCTAGCGGGGAGGAAAGAACATGGAGGAGTGTTATGCCAGGACAGTGTTATGCCATCAGTTTAGATCCTGCCTCTGGCCTCTGCACTGTGTTCCTGTGGATAAAGTCCCTCAGCCTTACCTTCTCCCATTCTAAAATGGCCATGATAATAACCCCTACCTCTTAGGATCATTGTGAAGGTTAAATGAGCTATCTACGTGTTCAGTGATTAGAATGGGACATGGCACGAAGTGAAGGACTTAATACCCATTAGATATTGTTACTGTTTCTACTGTTGTTACCCCGGAAATGTGGAGTGCACATGACTGCCGTCCACCCAGGATTTCCAGGTGGAGGAATTACGTCTGTTAGCATCATGGACCTTGTAAGAAAGCTGTGTCAGGTGACGATGGTGGTGATGATGATGGCTGTGTTTCCCTGCAGCATCTGCAACCAGTACAGCAGCATCGCGGACAAGATCAGTGAGATTCCCACCAACACGGAGGAGCTGGTGTCGCTCATTAAATTCTTAAAGAAATCCAGCGATGTCACGGTGTTCAAACTCCGGAGGCAGCTGAGAGATGCGATTGAACGGCTGGAGTTCCTCATGGATTATGCAGTCCTGCCCCGTAAGCCGTGCGCGCCCACAGGTGTATGCGTATGTTTATATTTTTAGGGCAAAGGAGTTGGGGAGGCGAGAGTAAACCCTTCCTGTCCCCCCCCCCACTACTGAATATCAATACCAGAGGCTGCTTTCAAGTACTTCCATAGTCCTACCCACAGGAATTTGAATCAAACGGAGGGAATCTTATCTTTAGACGAAAAGAAGAACTATCCAGGGACTTGACTAGTTCATAGATACCTGTCTTGGTATCTTGTTCCTGGAAAAGTCAATTCCAAACACTGAGTCTTTTGATAGATAGATTTCATTCGTCTGTAACCTAGGCACAGTCCCGGCTTTGAGGAGGCCTGGGCACTTTCCTTCCTAAATATCGTAAAAGGAAAGACGCCCCAGACCCCCTTCAAGGCTCATAGGGCCAAGTTAGAATTTGTCAGGACCAGATTTGTAGGAAAAGCTGAGGTGCTTCCTCTCCACAAGCCATGTTTCAGGGCTGTTTTCATCTGGAAATACCTGTGAATTACCTGGTGTTCACGGTGTTTGGGGGGAATGGTGATGGGCGGGAGAGGGCGGAACAAGGATCCCCTGCCCATCCTCCTGCACACTTCTGGCACTGTGCCTTGGCCCTATGCACACACACTGGACTCTCTCACTGTGGTCTCTGCGTCCTAAAGTCCAAGGGTACAGAGGGATCCCAGGACATTTGACTGACCAGAACCACAGGACGCGTAAGGCAACTGACGTTGATATTGCTACTGATATTGAACTGACAGGGAGACCGAGACTCAGATGGGGTGACATGGCTTAAAGAGGAGAACTGGAACTTCATCCCAGGTTTCTACCCTGCGCTGACCCAGCTCAGGAAGGCAGTCAAGTGCAGTGGTTAGAACATAGGCTGGGAAGTTGGTGAGACCTGGATTGGAAACCTGCTCTGCGACATTCTAGCAGTCTAGTGACTTTGACCACTTGCTTCACTGTTTCCGATCTGTAAAAACAAAGATGACAATACTGTCTACCTTCTTGCCTGGCCCTTGGTAAACGCTGGCTGTCATTCATCCATCATGGGCCCATCCAGTTATTGCCCCATCCCCCACCATGTCTGTTGACCTCTGGTTCTGCTGAATTAATTCCACACATGCTGACCTGTGCTGAGCAGTGTCCAAAGCCAACTGTGTGTGTTTTGCAGAAGAGGATATCAAATTGAACAGCACCTTGCTCCTCTGGCCAGACCAGATTGAAGATATCTTTGAAAACAGCCGAAACCTGCTCTATAGCAAGAGAGATCAGGCGGAGATGGACCTCATGAAAAGGTACAGGGAGCATCCAAGGTTGTTTTAGAAATGATCCCCGGCTTCATAACGCGCTGCCCGTTTCCTGGTTCTGTCTGGAGCCCCCCACAGCAATGCGTGGGCGAGGGCTGAAGACAGTCGGCGGAGAAGGAATTTCCTTTTGTTTCCCACCGAGGGATGTTCTCTTTAAGTCTGCTGTAACCCCTGCCAATGCCTTCCCTCCCTGCCTCGAGCAGTTGGAATTTGGCCGTGCAGAGAGAAAAAAGACAAAAATAGTGGCATGTAATAACGGCCTTGCAATAATAACGGCAGAATCCGCCTTCCATTGGAGACCACAGATGTGTGACATGTCAGGGCAAGGATAACAAAGGCCTGGCAGGAGGCTGACGAGATGCCTACTGTGCAGCTGGTCTTGTTCCGTGCCAGCGCACTGTCATCATTATTTCTTGATTATTTCTTACGGGTTTCTACTAGGTGCTCTGCTCTTTTCTAGACACGAAATTGTGCTGGGCTGCTAAGTAAAGACAAAGAACATGTAGGCATACTGAAAACTCAGGCAATTGAGTGATGTGGGCAGGTACCCTGTACATGGTAAAGACACGCACTCATGCACACGCATGCACACGTGTGCACCCCCTCCCCAGCTTGTAACACTTTATGAACCTCAGATTCATACCAATTACTATCCCTTCCCACATGACACTCCCACTGCCCAACTGGAGGTCCCATCATCCCTGCAAACTCTCACAAAGGGACAGAGTAGATAAAAGCAAGGGTTTCTACACAGAATGGGAATTAGGGCTGAAGGGCAAACCCATTTCATCGCTGCCTTCAAAATATGTCTTAGGTCTGCTGCCCGGAGAAAAAGTCACAACCACGAAAGGTGTGTGTGTGTGTCCTATCAGAGATCAAATTCCCCCCAGGCTCGCATGTGGGTGAGCAATGCCGTGACTTTGAAAAATCACAAAATGGAAAAGCTGAATGTGATTGGGGGCTGTCTTTACTTTCAGGTGCTCAGAGTTCGAATTGAAAGTCGAGGGCTACAGCAAGCTACTGGAGGGTTTTAGGAAACGCGAAGTGATGACTACAGAAGAAATGAAACACAACGTGGAAAAGCTTCACGAGCTGTCCAAGAACCTCGACCTGGCACTCGTGGAGTTTGAGGTTTGGGGACTGGGGTGGGGACCTGAGACTCTGTGCTGCTCTGTGACAGTTTCTGGTCCTTGGTTTTGTATTTTCCTAACATTACCTGTCAGGTGGATAGTGTTGGTTTGTTCATTGATTGGCTCTTTCATTGGTACTTTCAACTACCTTTTTCCACATCCTACATTATACTAGCTTTTTTGTTGGTCATTGAGAACACAGAGAAGGAATTATAATAGAATAATCCGTCATGTGCAGCAAGCCTTTATCACGTGCATTGAGCCTTTATCATGCGCTCAGCTCTGTAAAAAGGGCTTCCTGTGCGATAGATCAATTAATGCCCATAACAAACCTGTGCGGTACACACTGTTATTGCCCCTATTTATCCCTATTTAAAATGATAACTAAGACTTGGAGAAGCTGAGGAACTTTCCTTGAAGGTCAACTAGCAAGTTTTTTAACCATTAAAGTTCTTCCCTCTGAGGCAAGTCAGCACAAGAAGGCAACATCATGTGAACAGCTAGCGTACATGTGAAAATTGTGCAAATGGGGACATGGGTCTGTTACAGTGGGAATGAAGTTGGTGGAGCAAGTAGCAAATCACCCTAGAGTTTCACCCGACTAGATCTCAGCTGCCATGGCCCGTGGAGGGACAAAGGGACCTTCTTGCTTGAGTCCATGCCTTATTTTCCTCCCTTGCTTTCCAGGCAAACAAGCATCTTCCTCCACTTGGTTTTCAGAGCATTGAGGGATTTGCCATGGTGGCTTCTAGGCTCAGGAGCACCGCCCTTTTGCACCCAGCAAACAGCACCCCCTTTTGCCCTGCAGTTGATCAACAAGGAGGAGGACCTGCTGGAAAAGGAGAAGAGCGCCTTCCCTCTGCTGCAAACCGTGATGACCAACAAAGCGCCCTACGAGCAGCTGTGGGTGACGACGTACGAGTTCAGCATCAAGTCAGAGGAGTGGATGAACGGTGAGCTGTCTCACTCTGCTGGGCAGGTGGGGGTCGGGCCATGGAGCCACCCCAGCCAGCTCTGAAATCAAGTCTGAACTTCAGATTCCGGCTGAACTTTGCACCGTGTCCTGGTCCTCCGGATTAAGGCAGCCATAGTCAGACTCCTCTGATCTGATGGTGATGGAAGGCTGGGACCAAAGACCCAGATCTATTGCCAGGGGCAAACATTGGGCAGCCCCTCAGAGACATGGATTGGGTAGCGACTCAGAGAGGCGAATGGTGGGGGAAGAAGATGGTGGCTCCCCTATTGTGCGGCCTCAGGAAAGGCCGGCCGGGGTGCTGGAGACTTCTAGAAACTACTCCTTTAACTCCAAAGCCAACAGGGCATAATGATTGGTCTGCTATGGGGCACGGGGCAGGGAGGGAGTGTGGAGGACCGAGGGTGCTTTCTAGATTGTCAACTCAGGCAATGTGGGGGATTGGCCATCACTAACCATCATTAGTCAAGTCTTCGGCTAGTCTTCTTGTTCTTATGCGAGTGTCTTTCACAGAGCAGAAGATTTTAATTCTAATTTGAGGTGTCATGCTTTGTTTTTAAAGTAGTCTGTTTTTAAATAATTGCAAGTGCCTACCTACAAGATGCCAGAACTGAACAGAGAGCTCGCATATCCCCATCACTGTCATTCCCCGGTGGCTAATAGTTCACAGTATCTGTGGAGCTTCCTTCTAGAGCAGCACCCATAACCTCCTAACACTGGATTCCCGATCTGCCTTGTGTTACACGCCAGGCATCATGGTAGCCACTGTACGCATCTCACTTATGTTCATGGCCACCCTCTGAGGCAGCCATTGTCACCTGTGATACACAGGTGATACTGCTGAGGCTTTGAAAGGTTCACTAAACACACCCAAGGCTTCACGGGCTGAGCCGAAGTTTCAGATCCAGACCCAACTCCAAAGCCTGCGTTCGTTCCAATCTCCATACCGTAGGCCCACTTCTCAGTCCTGGGAATTCAAGGTGCACGGGACTGACACCTCCCTGGCGGCCTGACCCTTCGCTCACCCCGTCTTCTCTATTTCAGGACCCCTCTTTTTACTGAATGCTGAGGAAATCGCCGAGGAAATAGCGACCATGTGGCGGACGATATATAAATTGACCAAGACCTTCGCCGACGTGCCTGCGCCCAGACGCTTAGTAGAAAACGTGAAGATGAAGATTGAGAAGTTCAAGCAGCACATCCCAATCCTCAGCATTTCCTGCAACCCAGGGATGAGAGACCGGCACTGGCAGCAGGTCCTGAAATGCCCCCGCAGCCCGCCCAGCCCGTACCTGGCCTGGGAACCCCTTGGGAGGCAGGCGCCATTATGGGTCAAGCTTCTCTTCTGAAAGGAGCATCTGTTGGAGGCCAGGGGGGTAGTTATGGGGGTAACAGCCTTTGGATGGAAGGAAGCAGGCAGGTGAAAGGGTGAACTGCCTGCCTCTGCACATGACCCTTGACCCTTTCCTTTGGGGACTCCAGTACTTGTGGTTCAGCGCTATTCCAGCCAAGGCTCCCCTTGTCTGCTCCGGAGCCTACAGGGTCAGAAGGGTGTTGAGTTGCAGTGGGAGGTGCCTTGCTTGGTTCCTTCACCTTGGCTACACCTTTCCCTGGGGGCTCCTAACAGCGCCCCTCTGAGCCTGCTGACTCCCGCCTAGCTTGTCTGGCAGGCAGGCGCTATTCGGAAATATTGGGTTGTTGGAAAAGTCATGACGTATTTTTTTCTATGTTTTTCGTTGCAAAAATGCATCATGTCTTTTCCAACAACCCAATAATTTAACATCTACTTTCAGGTCTTTGAGTCTATAAATCAGAATGATAAATATTCTCCCTAAAAATAGTTGGGATTTTTATAAGCACCCAAGTGTGAGGGTGATAAACGTGGTGTGAACACTGAGCAGAGAAAGGAAAAATTCACTGTGTTTCTGTAATAATTATCATATTCAAGGGCTAGCAGTGGCCTTGAAATGACCTCGACCAGGGAGCTTCTGTGTGCAGAGGTGGAGATGAGCATCCATAAGCAGAGTCATGTCCGACCTGGCCTGGACTGCCCTCTCTGGGATCATGCACAGGCTGAGGACACTGGCTCTGGAAAGGCCCCACCTCCCCACCTGAGAGCGCGCCCAGGACCTTCCCGAGAATGGAGCCTGAGCATGTGGCTAGGAGCCTTTTGACCTCCCTGGGAAGGCAGAGACCTTGACACAGGAGAGATTTGGGAACTTCCTGTAGAGGGGAGCTACTTTCAGTTTCCCGGAAGCCTTGAAACTCAAGATCCCCTAAGTGAGGGGTGTAGAGAAGGGCAGAGGAGAGGTCACCTGGCTGGGTGCCCTTGTGGTCTCGTGCTGCCCAGCAGAGGGATCTCCGTAGCACAGCTGCCCACAGGGTGCCTTCCCCGGGGACCTAGCCTGGCAGGGCTGGGGAGGTTAGCGGTGCCGGGTCTCTCGATGAGATGGAATTGTAGGAAGTGCCCGCATCAATGCCGTTTAAGCACCCTGCAGGAGGGCTCGGAAAGCTGTCTCCTCCACCTGGCGCTTCCCCATGATGACGCAGTTCTTACACATGGGCGCCATTCCAAGACATTCATAATTCTCACTTACAGACCACGTAGGTAGACAGGTTGGGGAAAAAATGCCCCTTAGAATTAATATATCACAGTAATAATGGCTGAGGCACACTGAGTACCGACCATGTACCGGGTACTGTGTTGCACCCTTTCTATGGATTGCCTCAGTTCATCCCCCCAGCAGCCCTTTCAGTTAGGGACTGTCATTATCTCCATTGCGCCACTTAGGTTAAGTTGTCATGTGGCTAGTAAGTGAGAAGGGAGCGAACGGGGGTCCAGGTCTCTGACTGCCCAGGTGGGTGAAATGGAAGCAAGAAAAAGCAGATGAGGGAGGGAGTGGACAGTAGGGGGCATTGAGCCCCAGGTGAGCGTGGAGAGCTCTGGGAAGGTGCCTGCAGAGCTGTGCGCCCTGATGGAAGCCCAATGGGCTGAGTAGTTAACAGTGAGCTCAGAAAGGACAGAGGCCTGCAGATACACTTGGGGCTGTCCCCACTCCGAGCCCCTTTCTGCCTTCATTGTAGATCGCAACCACACATCACCCCGTGACAACCCAGGCTTGGTGAAGTCCTTCTCTGTCCTAATGCCCAACTTAGGAGATCCATTTGCACAGATTCTGGTTTTGGGGGCTTTGAAGACTAGGCCGCCTAAAGCCGTCTAGGCTGTAAGACGGATCTCCTGGGGCCATGGGTGGCTGGGCGGAGGTTTCTGACCATTTCCCAGAAATTAAGCAGAAAAACCTGGTCCCTGTTTTGGGGGCACAGACTTCACTGCTGTCAGCAAAGGGGGTGGCTACTGTGGTTTAAACCAATATGGAACCAAGTGACATTTGTCCTCAGGAAGAATCCACACTGATGAGGAACAAAGCTGGCCTCTAGGACACTGCTGCCCAATAGAAATATAATATGAGCGCATGTGTGATTTTAAAGTTTCCGGTGGCCACATTTTAAAAAGCCTAAGCAGATGAAATCAATTTTATGAATACATTTTATTTAACCAACCATATAAAAAATATTAGCATTTCAATAGGTAAATCAGTATAAAAATATTAATGTGATGTCTCACATTATATCTTTCATACTATGTCTTTAATAATGCTGTACTTTTACCATTACAGTGCATTTCAGTTTGGACTAATTGCATGTCAAGTTCTTGGTCACCACCAGGGTTCTACTGGCTCCATACTGGACAGTGTAGTTCTAGGCTCTTAGCTTTTAGAAAACCAGATGCTTTGTTAGTCTCTGCAATGAACAAAAGCAATTGACGTAATAAATCTACCAACACTCTGGGTCTTTCTTATGGGCCAAGTACCCTGCCACGTGCTTTATATGGTTATGTCATTTTGTCCTAGAGATAGTCAGTGTGTTGTTCTCAGCTGTACTTTCGGGTCTCAGAGAATGAGAGCTCAGGGCCAGCAGGAACAGTTGTGCAGACTGTGCACTGCACAACTCTAAGGAGTGCTGGTGTTGTGCACTGCAGTGTGAGTTGTACTTTCCGAAGTTAAGCAACATATGAATAACTTGCACAACTGTACATAGCAGACCTGTGAGAGATGGTAAGAGCTTTTGGAGTCAGAATTCTATCCAAGTCCCAACTGTGCCATTTGTTAGCTGGATGATCATGGACAAGATACTTAATTTCAATGTCTTAGTTTCCTTATACGTAAAACGGTAATAAAAACACATGAGTACCTTCTTTATTATGTTGGGAGAATGAAATAAGTACCTAAAGCTCTTAAAACAGCGCCTCCTACCTAGTAAGCCCTCAGTTAATGGTACTTTTATTATTTCCATTACCTTCGCGATCCTCCAGGTGTCCTCAGCCATTTGAGTTAGCTGGTTCATTCCTGCTTTCTCTACGCCAGGCCCCAGGGACACAAGGGTAAATGACAGAACATTTCTGCTCTGACATTCTTTAGTCCTTCTGGGGCCGGACAGAGATGCACCTGGGCAGTTGGTGAGGTTTTCCAGTCTTATTCCCCTGCATCCCTCGTTCTCCTCTTGAGCACGTGTAACCCTCAGACTGCCCCGATCTTGCGGTCCCCGGGAGGAGTGTTCACAAGCCGCCAGAGACTTCACTGAAGTCCTTTCTTGGGGATGTTTTCATTTAAAGCACAAGCTCAGCATAGCATTTACACCAAAAGAAAGGAACATCAAGTGCTAC